GCCAGACAGCCCAGGCCGCTGTCCAGCCTGCGGCCGAGTCGCCCAGCCGTCGCCCGTCCGCCCAGGCCGTTGCCCCGCCCATGGCCGGCCACTGTGCCTGCTGTGCCCTCGCCCGCGCCGAGCCGTTACTATTCACCCAAGCCATTTTGGGCCCGTGCCGGTTTTTCCCGAGCCAAATTTAGGTAAGCGACTCCCTAAACCTTACCTAGTACTTTGGGTATTATTTAGACTTGTTTAGGATGTGATTAGTACCGGTTTAGTGGCTAAGCTTGGATTAGGATCAATATGTGAATGTGGTTAATTGATAGATTAAATTGTGATGATTATGTGGCATAATTAGTGGCTGATTTATGTGGGTGCGATGATTGGATTGTCGTGGCGTTTGTGGATGAAATTGACATTTGATTGGGCCGATTTGAGTGTCGGATTGGTGGGCTAGTGTGATGAGTTTGTGATTCGAATTGGATTTGTACGACGTGTGAGAATGGCAAATTGTGATGTGGTGTATGTGCATGAGGAATGTCCTGAGGCATGGTTACGCGGGACTGAGCCAGGATTGATCGGAGGGCTACCAACCTGAGGCGTGGTTACGCGAGTGTGGCTAAAAAGGCAAAAAATGATCTGAGGCGTGGTTACGCGGGTCGAAAGAAATGTCCTAAGGCGTGGTTACGCGGGACTGAGCCCAGATTGATCGAAGGGCTGCCAACTTGAGGCGTGGTTACCCGGGTGTGGCTAGAAAGGTAAGAAATGACCTAAGGCGTGGTTACGCGGGTTGTGAGAAAGTGTGAAATATCCAGTGAGGGACGGAGCCCGGATCGATCGGAGGGCTGACCTGAGACGTGTTTACGCGGGTCGTGAGAAAGTGTGGAATGTCCAGTGAAGGACGGAGCTCGGATCGATCGGAGGACTGACCTGAGGCGTGTTGACGCGGGTCGTGGAAAGTTGCTCGGCCACGCATGCGAATTGTGTTTGATTGAATTGGGTGAACATACGTGATTATGGTGCTTGAGTGTTTATATTACGTTTTTGAGTAATTATCGCATTATGGTGATTTAGCTAATATGCAAGGTTGACACTTGATTTAAGGCAAGGTAAGTATGTTTGTGTGGAATTGAATGTGTTGGCTGTTAAATCGCATGTTAGACTCGTCTGGGTACGCATTGGCCTAGGTGGGGTATAGGTTGTCTGTTTATTGAGATTTATTCTCATTGCTGTAATACAAATCATTTTAGACCCCCAACCCCGACCATGAGTGATCTGCCTGAACGTTTTGGGATCCTGAGGCATATTGAGCACTCGGCGGTGGAGTACTCCGTAGGGAACGGGGAGGCCTATGTTAAGCATACCACGGTGGTGTGGGTAGATGTGGGTAAATCGGAGTTGCAACCCAATACATACCGGGCATACTGTTATCGGGATTTGTACAGAGTCTATGGACCCCTTCGGCATTTTGATGTCTCGTTTAATGGGGGAGGCGAGTGGGATCCCTCAGCTGTCCTTGCCCCCGATGGTGAGGTTTTGGACGCCGGACATGCCCCGGTAAACCCTAGTCCTGAACTGGAGCCCGAACCTGTGGCCCTCGTAGACCTCGAGCTTGAAGAGGAGTTTGAGGAGTCCGAGCCCGAGCCCAAGGAGGAGCCCATGGAGCCCGAGATCGAGGAAGAACTAGAAGAACCAGATCCCGAGTCCGAGCCTAAGGAGGAGCCTATGGTGTCCGAGCACGAGGAGGAGCCAATCGAGATCGACTCAGACACGGAGTCAGAGCCTTCAAGGTCCGATTCAGATTGGACACCGTAGGGGTGTTTAGGTGCTCGGCCTAGAAGTCCTTTTTGGTAAAACCCTTTTTGTGTAGATAGCTAGCCTACCCTATCACCTATTCCTTTTTGATGATGAAGGTGGATGCTAACCCTAGAAACCTATTGTACGAATTTTACGGTCTCAAGCTAATGATATGGGTTTATTGATTTTCTTCAAGTACTACCCTGTTGTCATTGTTTATTGTCTGAGATGTTTAGTTTTCGCTTTCGCTTGCGTTTGTCTTCGCGTGTTTCGTTTGGGTTGGCGACGCGTCCTGGGACGTCGCGATCAATACGGCCATCGAAAGGGTGTCGCGAGCCCGTTAGGGTTCGGGGCGTGACACTCACTCTCTCTCTCTCACCATCACGCCAATCATCTCTCTCTCGCTGTTGGCCGCCGCCGACCGCCGTAGACGTTTTCTTGAGCTTATAGGTGAGTGAATTCCCTAACACTTGAATAGGGCGGTGTGTTACGTGGTTGGAACGCGGCATGTAAATGGATTCCCTAATCTCGGGATAGGAAGTTATGATGCATTGTTGGCTTGAGTTCTCACCGAGCCTTTGTTGAGACTTGCGTGTTGTTATTTGTCTCGATGTTGCACACATCGCTTGCTATCATGCTTGATGTTCTCATCCATGCTTGATGTTCTCATCCATGCTTGTTGATTTACAAGAGAATAGGACGTGGTGTTGTGAGTTTGGCTCGAGTAGTGACCATATTTGTGATGCTCGATGTTCGCATGAATGCTTCTTGTTTTGCTTCATAATCGTAAGTCAAGGCACGTACCAGTCACGAAACGGGGTGTCGTATGGTCTCATACTCATATTGTGGCGTTATGGGACGAGTTCGGCTTGGTGCGGATTTACATTGGGATGTATAGATCTAGGCCAAGTTCGGCTCCGAGTCGGCGCTCGGCATGGCGGATCGAACCACGTGCCCTCAACCGCGACCCGCATATTAGACAAATATTCTAGAGATCATGATTACACAAGCACGGCACGCCTTTTGGCTTGATTGCTTGCATGAACTAATGAAATCAAGATAATAAACAGGCTTGTGTAACTCATGATGTGTGATCACTAAATGAAAAAAGAAGACCCTCATCACATAGCGTTGGCGGCGATGCCTCGGTAAACTAGCGCCGGGATGCCCTAGTTAAGCTAGGATGCCTGGGTTGAGCCCGGTTGCCTCGGTAAACTAGTGCCGGGATGCCCTAGTTGAGCCCGGATGCCTTGGTTGAGCCCGGATACCTCGGGTGAGCTAGCCCCGGGATGCCTCGGTTGAGCCGGAATGCCTTGGTTGAGTCAGGATGCCTAGCATGAAGTTAGATGTCTCGGTTAAGCCGAGATGCCTCGGTTGAGCCAGGATGACGATACATGAATCTTATATGTGTGCTGGTATGTGATAAATAAAGTCTATATGTGTGCTGGTATGTGTGCTTATTGATAAGCCGAATTTATGTGACCAGATAAATGTGAGTTTCCATGTGAACATAACAAGGGTAAGGGCAAGGTCAAAGTCTTTGCTATTAATTTGCCATCGACATAAGGTGGTAAAAATATTTTTATGCGTTAGTAGAACGGCGAGACATCATCCTGCACAAGTATTAGTGAATTTACTCATTAAGTTGTTTTTCCTCTTTTCAGGTCCGTAAGATGGAGGATGACGTAGAGGAGCTAGGATTAATCTCGGCCTTCACTTGTGATATGATTTATGCATGGACGGCTCGTGGAAAAAGGGCTTGTAAAATATGTTTAAGTAAAATTGCAATAATGTGTCTTGCCCGTTATGTTTTTCCCGATTTCCAGCTGTTATTATGTTTGGAATTGTTTATACACGTTTTCGAATGTGTTTAATAATCAGATGTTACAAACTAATACAATGTGTGCTCATGATGCTTGTCATAACCCCGTTGTTTGTTTAGCTTGTGATTATCCGGAATTAATTGCTTCCGCTTGTGCTTAGTCAAAGACAATAACGAAGGGAACGTCACACTAATAACCTCGAGGTGGGGTTCTTCACTCGAGATCATTTGGGGATTAAAAAAAGATAGAGGAGCAATCGCTAACGCCCATGCATAAAGGAAGAAAATTTCGAAGTATCGCCAAAATAATTTCGATTTTTAATATTTGGATTAAGAAGAAAAGCCAGGTGATGGACTAAAGCTAATAAATCTCGACAAGCTCGTCTTTTAGGATCCCATGTTCCTAATTTTATGGGAAAAAGCAACAAAAAAAAACCAAAATATATTTATTGTAACACATTTAGTTTGAACTTTTTTTTGTGACGTAAAAAACTTTATATTATGCCAACTGTGACATATTTGCCGTAGAATTTTTTTTTTGTCACATAAAAAATCCAAAACTTGTATCTATGTGATACATTTACCCTCAGTAATTTTTCAGTCAAAACAACGTCATTTTTATTTCACTTAAGCCACATGGGAGCGGGTGCCACATCAACATTGTTTGCAATCTAACGTCTATGTACGCAGTTTTCTAACGGTTCTCCTTGGCATAACTTTTTCCTTTCGTTTGGTCGGAATATAAATGTGCCAAAAGAAAAAAAAAAGCTCTTGGAATAATTGTGCCAAGTCCCTTTCGTTACTAAATGAATGGGCCGCCAATTGGGCCGGGAATCAACGCGATCTCCCCGTTCTGCCCCTTCCTTTTCGACATTATCACTAATCACTAACCCCCGCGATTAATTAACTTCTAATTAAGCCGATAATCAAATGTCGCTTCGTTCGAAGTCCCTGAACATTTACAGCATTACATCTCGTAGAGACCGTCATTTTTTCCTTCCCCCGTTTTCAATAAAAAAAAAAACATTTTCACAGGTTGAATCGGGAGAAAAAAAAAGGTCTCGGGAAGAAATTCGTCGTCGTCATCATCTTCTTCATCGTCTTCATCACCGTCTTCGTCTTCATCTTCATCTTCATCTTCGATTTCTGCTGCTTCTTCTTCTTCTTCTTCTTCTTCTCAGAAGCCTCGCTCTCCTCAGAAGCCTCGCTCTCCTCCGTTGCTCTCGCTCCTCGATCCTCCGATTCGACGGGGAAGCGGCCGTGAATCTCTGATCTTCGGAGGAGTGGTCGGGAGCGAAGGCACTGCTGCCGCTGCTGCCGCTGCTGCTGCTGCTGCTGCTCCTCTCCATGTTGTCGCTCCGTGATTCCTCCGCGCTCTGACCGGTCGGCGAGGGGGTTTCCCGAAATTGGACCGGGGGGGATCGGCGGCGTGCCTGTTGGCCATGGCGGCGTCGGCGCAGAACCAGCCGGCCAATGTGGATCTCTTCGATTTGTACTTCAGGAGAGCGGATTTGGATCGGGACGGCCGGATCAGCGGCCTCGAGGCCGTCACCTTCTTCCAGGCCTCCGGCTTGCCCAAGCCCGTCCTCGCCAAGGTGATCCCGGAATGTTTTGTCTCTCTTTTGCGGGGGGTTTTTTTTTTTCTTTCGGATGCGCGCGTCTGTGTGGTTGTGTGCTTGTGTCGGGTCGCGAGCTCGATTGCGTCGGGACGATTGATGCTTTCGGGCGGGAGGGAGTGGCGTGGATAGGGTTGGGAGGATGGTTTGGATGCTTTAAGTGGTTTTAGTAGCAGTACTAACTGTGACGGTCAAATGAGAGAGTTCTTTGGTGGTTGGTTTGAATTTTGGAGATGCAAATTGTTAGTGTATGGTCTTCATGGAAAATTGGAGTTCACATTGTAGATTATATATCAAACGTGAGTGGGATCGAAGTTATGAGAACTTAGATAACCGCTTTATCTAATTGTTTAGGCATTGTATATGTTACTAGCGTTCATTGGAGGAGTTTTGTGTGCGGCGCAGTTGCTTTCTTTACTTTCTTTTGCAGATAAAAAGGATCTAGTCACTGGGCATATCCAGAAAAAATTTATAGTATCTACTATATGAATCGATGTGTATGTTGTGATGACACACCTCCACACAGATACACACATTAAAATTCCTTGCCAAGGTGTGTTACTATATTAACATGTCAAGACTGTTCTTGACGACATTGTTATGTGAAAATGGAACCTTTTCATATTCCTCTAGATCGAGTTCCTACCAAGGACGGTGGCTGTTGTTGGAGGAAATGTACACACCTAACTGGTAGAGTCTAAGGAGTGCCTAGTGCAAAAATGTATGAGGAGTGCTTGCTAGGGTGAATAAATGATCGAAATTTGGAAGTTCATTGAAATCGATTCAGCATCTGCAATGAACAATGCCTGGTTATACAAGCTAAAAGGGTGAGAATAGAAGTATGATCTGAACCAACAAAAGAGCTTCGAGGAGTGAGAGGAAGAGATACACGAATGGATAAGGACGTCATATGAATGTTTTAACAGTGGCTTGTTCTCTGTGTTTTTCTATTTTTAGTTGGCAATTTTTTTTTTTTGGTAAAGTTTATTTCTCCATAGTTGGCTGTATATGAAAATGATGCATCATATGTGGACCCATTTGGAGGTTATACGAGTAAGTTCTACAATGGAAAGTCAACATTTGAATGGTGTTTCCTGCGTACATGTGAAAATGTGTTGTCCTTTTGCATTTGAAGATACTTTTTCATGTTACAACTTGCTAGTGTGGTCAATTCATTGAAGTCGAGGCCCTCTTTTAGAGATCCTAAATTCATCCTCATCTCTGACATCATTTTCTCTTTCGAAGGTATGGGACTATGCTGACCAGAATCGAACTGGTTTCCTTGGTCGGGCTGAATTTTATAATGCTCTTAAACTTGTAACAGTAGCACAAAAGAAACGGGAACTGACTCCTGAAATTGTGAAGGCTGCATTATATAGCCCAGCTGCTGCTAAAATCCCTGCACCACAGATAAATCTTGCTGGTGTTTCTGCACCACAACCAAACACTGGCACACAAGCAGCTGCTCCTCAAGCTGGCATCGTTGCTTCATTGACTCCCCAGAGTCTTGGATTTGGAGGGTCACAAGCACCTCTTGGCGTAAACTTGAGCCAGCAGCAGCTCTCTTCTCAAGCTAGTCTGTTGCGTCCGCAAGCAGTACCTGTTGCAGCTTTGCAGCCAACACAGGGTGCTCCCACCCAGGGTTTTCCCTTGAGAGGTGCTGTAGTGGGTCCATCTCTTCCGAACTCAAGCACTTCAAGTGATTGGACAGGTGGAAGGATGGGGGGACCTCCTAGTGGAACAGTCCCACAGGTCCCCAATAGAGGAGTTGCCTCCTCCATGACACCGCATGGATTTGCGATTTCTACATCAGGCCATGAAACTTCACTGCCGCCTAGGCCACAGGCCCCCTCTGCGATACCATCCAGGCCAGATGTTAGGGATCCCAAACAAATGGGTGTTTCAGGCAATGGATTTGCTGCCGACTCTTTTTTCGGAGAAGGTGCCTTCTCAGCAAGCCAACCTCAACCACGACAAGAATCTTCTGCACTCAGTGCACCTAACTCACCGGCCACTTCTCTTCTGTCTGCTGCTAATCAGCCTTTTGTTCGGCCAAATGCTCTTGAATCTCTGCAAACTTCATTTGCTATGCAACCTGTGGGTGGGCAACCCCGGCCAGCTCAGTCTATATTGAGACCGGCCCAGCAGGTCTCGGCTGCAAGTACATCCACATTTTCATCATCTGTGGTTTCACCCCCATCTGCTAATGCACCTTCCAGCCAATCACAGATGCCATGGCCTAAAATGACTCAAATGGATGTTCAGAAGTATACGAAAGTATTTGTGGAAGTAGACAAAGACAAAGATGGGAAAATTACTGGTGAACAGGCGCGCAACCTCTTTCTGAGTTGGAGACTTCCTCGAGGTAAAATGTGATAGTTTTTTTTTTGGATTGGCTGTTCTGCTAGTTAGCTATTTCAGTGATTGAAAATGGGCAACATCTAAACTGGTACTCTTTTATTCGCTTTAATGGCAATGTCTTTAGTTGAGTGTTCTGCTGGTTTTTCATCAAACTCTGGAAGTTGGAGTGACGATTCTTACTGCATATTGAAGTAAATGAAGCTTTAGATGTGTTATAGTGACAAATATAATCTCTTATATGAACTCTGGGTTTTATAAATTTTATTTTAGCCAATCTAAAGGCACTGTAATGAAAGAGTGATGAAAGAATGTTCTGCTGAACCCCAGAAAAAAAGTCATGAAGTGAAAGCTTTCGATTGTTAACTATAGGATGAATCATGAAACTTTAAGATGAGTGTGTCCTTTTATTTTGCATGATGGGCTTGCACAGGAATTTGGATTGGGCTTGAAGCATATGTTTGATTTGCCATTATGCATTATATTGTTTTTATTGGTTTTTATTTCTGGAGTTGATGCTTTATGTTTTTTGGACACATTTTCTCATCATCTACTGCCTGTTTGTGTTTGTCAGAGATTTTAAAGCAAGTGTGGGACTTATCGGATCAGGATAACGATAGCATGCTTTCTCTCAGGGAGTTCTGTGTTGCACTCTATTTGTTGGAGCGATATAGAGAGGGGCGTACCCTTCCAACTGTCCTTCCTAGCAACATTTTATTTGACCAGCCTGGTCAGCCTGGTCAACCATCTGTGGGATATGCAAATGCAGCTTGGTCGCAGGCATCTGGTACTGATGGAACAACCTCTTTATGTATTACTGCTCAAACGTTTCTGACATCATAATCAAATTATGCCTTTTGTTATTGGTAGGTTTGCAGCAACAAGGGATGGCTGCGCCTGGTTCTCAGCACATGGCACATTCAGCCAGAGGAAGGCCTCCCAGGCCCCCTGCTGCCCCTCCATCGGATGATGCGGTACAGCCCAGGCAGCAGAAAAAAGTTCCCGTGTTGGAGAAGCACCTTGTGGACCAGCTTAGTAAGGAGGAACAGAGTTCTCTCAGTTCAAAGTTCCAGGAAGCGATGGATGCTGATAAGAAGGTAATGCGGATCTTGGTTCATCCTTATCTGTTTGAAATTGATTTGTGATGTGGAGTGTGCTTTTGTTTGTAATTTGTATGTAGTTATTTTATGACCGTTTGAAAAGTATTTTGGCTATCTAAGAATTATCATATAACATTTGCTTAGGTACTGTGATTCGCAATCCAACATTCTCCATTCTGGCTCATAAGTTACATTTGCATGAACCATGCCATCATAACTTTGGATAAGATAAAATTAGTTGAAGTGGATTTCTTGGCAGACTATTATCAGTTGCATACGTGGTTACTGATCATATAGAAGATCTCCCTTGTGCCATACTGTCTTGAGTATAGATTGCTCTTCCCTTTGCATCTACATCAAGAAGTAATTGATGGTTTTAGTAGCAGCTGCCGTTCTGCAAAACTTTTGGAGTTCAGTTTTCTTGAGCATGATTTCAAAGATTATATAATCCCACATATGAAGATTTTTTCCTTTTTCTGTTTTCGGCGATGATTGACATATTTCTCTTGACCTTTTTTTTTCACTGTAGGTGGAGGAGCTGGAGAAAGAAATAATGGATTCTAGAGAGAAAATTGAGTTTTGCCGTACTAAGATGCAAGAACTCGTGAGTAATTTCTCTTCATATGAGCTTCTTTGTTATTGAAGGGAGTATGTTATTCAGGATGCGTACACTTCCAGTGTCCATCCATCAAATGATTTAGCTCGTGTGTTTTATTTTGGTATTGCCATTTTTTGACAATAACTACATAAACCTCTTACCCACAGAATGCTGCCCCCGTCATCCATTGTTATGAGTTGGTTTGACAATTCAGTGACTAGCAAACAGAAAAGCTTGATTCAGCTTATCTACCCACTACATCTCACTTTCACCTTTTGGATACTTTGTTCATGTCTTTGTCTCAATGGTCGCCAACCATCATTACACCATTCACATTCTCAACAAATTAGTGTTTACTTGGTAGTCTGAGGATATTATCTGTACATCCGGCCGGCCTTTGACTTCCCTTCTCTAATAGGTTCTGTATAAGAGCAGATGTGACAATCGCGTCAATGAAATCATGGAAAGAGCATCTGGCGACAAACGTGAGGTACTTGTTCAATGCTCATATCTAAATATTAGCAATTCTATCATAGTAGTCCTGACGTAAAAACCTATTGACTTAGGTGGAGACCTTAGCAAAAAAATACGAAGAGAAATGCAGGCAAGCTGGAGATGTGGCCTCTAAGTTAACCATTGAGGAAGCAACATTCCGCGATTTACAGGTATTATTTGTTGTAGTAGACTATTGACCTGACTAGGTAATTGGTTTTGGATAATTCATCTGATGTGTCGAGCACTTGAATTAAAGACTGGCCATTCAAACTAAAGAGAGCAAAAAATGGGAGCGACTTTATGTGGAATTCCCTCTGCTTGAATAAAATGGAGCTTTGTTTCCCTTTCAGTTAGATGTTTTTATTTGTTTTTCTTACAGGAGAAGAAAATGGAGCTGTACCGAGCTATTGTCAGCATGGAAAAAGATGGTGGTGCTGATGGTGCTCTACAGGTAAATATTTAATAGGTGGGCTTGTTTAAATTTTAAAGAAATACTTAATTTCCCTTTTTTCCCCCTTCTCAGGGCCGTGCTGAGCATATCCAGACTGATCTTGATGAGCTTGTGAAAAATCTCAATGAGCGCTGCAAGAAGTACGGACTACGTGCAAAGCCAATTTCTGTTCTTGAACTTCCATTTGGTAATTTCCTTCTACAATTCTCTAATTTTATGAAATTTGGCAGTATAACAAAATACTTCTGGTTACTGCTTGCTAGTTTTTTCTTGTTTTATTAATTAATTTAATGAAGATTTCAGTGGCTGTATTGTCTGTTTATTTTTCTTGTGAGAAGCAGATGACTTTAGGAGTGGTTGAGAAGGTCAACTTCTATCAACTCAAGGAATGATCTTACTGTTATTTCTATAGGAACTCAAGCTGCCTCTTTCCTAGTTATTGAGAAAAATTAACTTGGGTCTCATCATTGGACACTTAAATGATGCAAATGTTCATCATTCTGTCATCTTGATCTCTCAGTAGTTTGTGCATGAGACTTATTCCTTGAGAGAGGAGGAGAGATATTTTGTGTGATTATGAGAGGGAAATGAAGATAGACATTTAAGTTTTACCCAAACAGAGGGAAGGTAGACAAAGTATTGGAATCTTAGACCCGTTTTCTGGTTCAAAAACTTTTTGCAATCTCGAGAAAAAGATTGCAAATCATGTAGGTGAAAGAATGATGAATTGATTGACAATACCAGTTTATTTTTTTTTTCGAAAGATCCTAGATTTGGAAGCGGAGTTTCATCTTGACATGTATAATTCATCAACATTCCAAATACAATATGGTGGAAAGTGATCTGTAAACTTTTGTATGATTGCTGTGGGCTTGTTTTTTGAGTGTTGGAGACTTTCTTGATGGTTTTCTATGGTCTGTACAGTATCCACATCAAGAAACTGCTTCATCTTGTGGGGCATTCTTTTCACAGATAAAATTATCTGACAGCTGTATTGAGGTTGTGAGTGTTGTCTGTCCATTTGCAAAGATTCGCATGTGAACAGTGATTATTTCGTTTAGCCTATGTGTCACTATCTCGTCGATTAGCTTTGAGACATTTAAACATAGCTCCAGAATATTACTGAAAGGGGTGCTTCTTGTGCACTACATAATGATTACAGGTTATTGTGATCAGTTAAGCTCATCAATTTCATGTGCTCTCCTCTGTTATGTTTGTCTATTTGTTCTGTTTGTGTTCGCAAGAGTTTAGCTTCACTGATGCTTCTGGCTGCTTAATATTTCCTTGTCCATGGTTGAAGGCTGGCAACCTGGTATCCAAGAGACAGCTGCTGATTGGGATGAAGACTGGGATAAGTTTGAAGAAGAAGGTGTGATATTTTTTATCCTCCGTGTTTTTTGATAATGGATTTCCCTTTTTTCAGGTATTCTAATAGGAATTGGCCAATAATATTGAGCTGTGACCTCTCTACTGTCTCATCCCATTGCATGGAGGATTTTATCATTGAGCTAGCATACAGTTATTGGAAGTTAGGATGTAGTGAGATCTAGTCTGACATAATTCCTTCATGGATTACATTGATGCATTGGCTGCATCATTTGTAATTTCAATGTCAAAAGATTGTATGTAATGGTTATCAGTGGTTCTATCATACTTTTTCAGTTCTGTAGATTTATATGCAAAATAATGCTTCTGCAGTTTTTAATGATGTAGCTATGTTCCATCAATTCAGGTTTCACATTTGTCAAGGAGTTCACGCTTGATGTACAAAATGTCATAGCACCCCCTAAAGAGAAATCTTCATCAGCTCAGGTAGCAAAGCCATCTGCACATAAGAGCCCTGTTGCCCCTTCATCACCTCACGCAGATGTGGACAAAGAGAAGCCTTTGACTTCAGATGGGCATGTAGTAGAAAATGGAATACACCACAAAAAAAGTGAAGATGGCACACCCAAAAGTGCACCGAGCAGTCCTGCAGCTACAAGCACAATTGAAAGTCCCTCTAGAGATTTTGCGCATGCTGGCTATGGAAAGACAACCACTGAGGATTCTTCATTGCATTATTACAAAGAAACTCAAAGGTAAAAAATATTAGTACAATGCAATGCCACAAATGCAAAGTGCGTAGGTAAATCTTTCGGTAATTTTAGCACATGCCATGTGTCTCAGATAGTAGAGGTAGAATGCAGTTTGCTGTTACAGCAATGTAATTGATGTCTTAATGTCAAAATCTAGGTCCTCCCTTCGTTACTGTTAGTTTATCTGCATATGTGCAAATTGTCATTGGAGAACTTCATCTGCTTTCTGGTCGATGGAGGACGATGTTAGATGCTGAGTCCCAAAGTAGTGAGTCACCCTGATTAGATTGAGAATTTGGAGAGAACTCAAAATGAATGATAACTCAGAACGAGTAAATACTTTTAGGCATGACGCTTTTATAAGCATCACCTCTAACATTTCTTAGGCGTCAGACTTAAGGGAAGAATTGCAAGACACTATTCCTAAGTGGAGATGTAATACAATTTGATTTCAATATTAACGATATATATATATATTCCTCCTCGAACTTGAAATAGGAAACCTAAATAGAAAATGTTATTCCAACTTGAAACAGAAGTAAGAAACATGATATTCTAGTTCAAATAAAAGGCTGAAATTATAATCCTAATAAAGCTCAAAGTCTAATAGATTGTTGACTAATTGAATTTGGAGAAGAATCTTAATCCTTTAGGACTCTTAGTCGAGTTGTAATGCAATGCCAAAGGTCAATCTTTTCTAAAACTTGATTGTAGCATTGGTATTTAGGTCTCAAACCACTCATTTGATGTTATGGGCTGCATCACTAGTTCCACAATGCTTGGTGATTGGTTATTTATTTGTCTTTTGGGACACTGGACAAATGCTTCTTGATTTCAGCATATGCTACCCCCTAACTGTTTAGTGGGGTTGTGATAGACGGAGGAGTGATGTTAGCAAAAATGAGTGGTTAAATTAAATGCAGATGGACTGGTGTTCTTTGATGTTTGGGTTTCTTGACGAATACTCTCTCCCTCTCTCTCTCTCACTTAGGATAGGATTGACAATCCATTTTGATTCAAGATTATTGCCTGCATGTTTTCCTTTTGTGCTACAGTACTCATTACATTTATCCATGGGAGGATAGTTTCCGGTAGTATGGTTCCAGCGGGGATGTGGTTTCTGTTTGATATTTTGTATAGGAAGAACATATATATTTATGTAGTTTCAGGTGTATTTAAGACACCCTAAGAAAAGAGTTATCCCTAATTCGAAATTAACAATGGCTTGGTACTTAATGTTTATTCAGAAATAAAAATAGCCCATTGAATGTAAGTGGTTTCCTTTTCCTTTTATTCCCCTGTTAAAAAGGACAATTCTTTTCCAGCCCCTCATTACATTTTTCCATGAGAGGATAGTTCCGGTAGTATGGTCCCAGCGGGGATGTGGTTTCTGTTTGATATTTTGTATAGGAAGGACATATACATTTATGTAGTTTTAGGTGTATTTAAGACACCCTAAGAAAAGAGTTAGCACTAATTCGAATTTAACAATTGCTTGGTATTTAATGTTTATTCAGAAATAAAAATAACCAATTGAACGTAAGTGGTTTTCTTTTCGTTATCTTTCCCTGTTGAAAAGGACAATTTTTTTCCAGCTCAAAAGGGCATTGTGATTCGTTCTTCGTTTTATTGTGAGGGATCTTCACCTTGCTTTTTACCATTATACCTTACATCCTTGATCTTTGCAGTGTTGTGTGGGAGGTGGACCTCTTTTGTTATGGTGTGATCAAATTCAGCAAGCCAATCTTACTTTCACTGACAATTGCATGTGTACTTTTACCACATGCAGTGATCATGAGGCTGCTGGCTCTGTCCTCTCTGGGGATAGGAGTTTTGATGAACCAGCATGGGGAACATTCGATACTAATGATGATGTAGACTCCGTGTGGGGATTCAACCCAGTAAGTTCGAGCAAGGTAAGATTCTTCTTGTACCATCTAGTGTATGCTTACATGTTCCAAAGGTTGGTTACTTAATGCATCTTATTATCTGAACTGCTGGGTGAGTGCCCACATACATGAATTATGAGGATTTATTTTCAACCAATTGGTTTGTTCTGGGTAAGCATAGACTTTTCTTAAAGTTTCATTCTTTTGATTTTATAATCTGGGAGATCGAGTCAATTCTTATTGTGAATAGAGAAGTTGTCAAATTGTGTGCCAACTTATTGAGCTTGGATATATTGGTTCTTGAATTGTTGAGGGTCTTCTTTATCTCATTGTATGTGTATTTTAAGTATCGCTGGTGTGGAATTTGGAGCTGAGCTTTGTTGTCAAAATCATGTTTTTTTTATCTTAAAGTTGCTTAATTTAAAAATTGAGAATTGGGAAAGTGAACTATTTTGGGAATATAAAAGTAAAATAATGTGTTGACTTGTTTGACTAGTTGAGATTGCTGACTTGCTAGATTGAGCTGCTATAAAATATTCCTATTCCATTTGTCATTCATCTTCAGAGAGTTTTTCTCGGTCATTGTGAGAAGATCCAGCTCACCTCGATCATTACTCGTGATCGAGTTGCTTGATTTTTAGTCGAGCTTGAGCTCAAGCTACTTGAGTGACTTGTTGAGTTGAGCTTGAGATCACCAATGCTCAGCTCGATAGGCTCACTAGCCTAATCAAGCTTCTATTTTTTTTTTTGCAAAAAATTTAATTACAGAGTCAGTCACAAAGATCTACAAAATATTTTGCCCTGCAATTATATAATTTCAGGGTAAAGGAAAATATTCGAGATTATTTGTAACTTGATATTGTTTTCGAGTTGAGTCGACTCAAACTTAAGTATCTTAAATTTTTATTCAATTCGAGCTTGAGCGGGAATTAAACTCATTGAATCGAGAATGTGAGGCGAGTTGAGGTCAGGCTAGACACTGAATTGCCTTGATTACACCAGCTTGATTTCACCCCTTTGTTTCATTGGACTAGTAAATTGTGTTTCAGTAGCTTTGCCCTATAGCTACTGCAGTCTGCAGATCAGCAAGCAACAGAGGAGTGGCTCTACTGAGATATGCATAGAGTTGCTTCTTCTAATACCCTCGTGTCTCTTTTAAGGCACGATTACTGTTTCTTTTGATTCTTATTCATCTCAGATTTTCTGAACACTGGCTGACAAGTTCCCAAAATCATTTTCTGTAATTGAGATTGTGATCAATTAGAGCTTGAGAACACGGCACAGTAACCTCTATTTAGTTCTGGATATTCGAGGTAGGTTTGATTTATCTCTGGAAAAAGCAAATGTCTCTAGACATTTGATTGACACTCGATAAAAAGTTATGTTAAAGGAAGTTGTGTTTGTATTTTCTTTTAATATGATTACATTTGTCATGTGTATGTCATCGTCATGTTTAACATTACATTGCTTAACCAGGTAATCTATACTTCTTTTTGGTGTCTCCTCACTCATGGTTGGTGTCGTTGTAGCTAGGTTATGAAATCTTATGTTTCTATGATTGGATCTTAGGATTCAATTAATGGGCATCTTTCAGAACCGAAATAAATGAGTAATTCTGATGACCTTAGTGCTAACTCTCTTCATACTTTTCATCAATTGCACTTCCATATAGTTATAGCTGAGTGGTCAATTTCCCTTCTGCTCTATAAAAATTTCATCATGTTTTCACTTTTCGTATGTGATGTAGGATACGGATCATGAAGGACTCAAAGATGATTACTTATTTGGATCGATGGAATTTGGCCTTAATCCTATCCGGACTGGGCCGCCACAGGCTGGTTTTCAGAAGAAGAGCATGTTTTTTGATGAATCTGTTCCCAGCACACCACTCTATACTTCAGGCTTTTCTCCAAAATACAGTGAGACATCACGGCCATCATTCGACAGCTTCTCGGGTCAGAAGAAGAGCATATTTTTTGATGAATCTGTTCCCAGCACACCACTCTATACTTCGGGCTTTTCTCCAAAATACGGTGAGCCATCAGGACCGTCATTCGACAGCTCCTCAAGATTTGATTCTTTTAACATGCACGACAGTGGAGTCTTTTCCCAGCGCGACGCATTCTCGCGGTTTGATTCTTTCAACACGCAAGACAGCGGAACCTTCCCCCAACGTGATATATTCTCAAGATTTGATTCTTTCAACACACATGATGGCGAAAGCTTTCCCCAACGCGAAACATTAACGCGATTTGATTCAATGCGCAGCAGTGTCGATTTCGATCATGGTCATGGTTTCCCGTCATTTGATGATTCGGATCCTTTTGGTACTGGTCCATTTAGGACTTCCAAGGAGAGTCAAACTCCAAAAAGTTCAGATAATTGGGGTCATACTCCAAAGAGCTCAGATAACTGGAGTGCCTTCTAGCTGGTGAAAGAGTCGTGCCTCATCACTTCCTGGACTGAGCCGTTGAGTTCATCAAGTGGTTTGTTTGTGTCGCATCTTGTTTCGCAACCGATTGGAGGACCATAGAGTATTCTCTTGTATTATTTTTTGTGTGTATTAGTAGCTTTTCAGTGATCTGTGCTTTATTTTTGGCAGCTTCGACGATGGATGATATCTTCTCTTTCTTCCTCTTCTTGTCCTAGTGTTCTCGAATTCTTCATTTTCCATGTTCTACTGATTGAGGATCTTAAATTCTTTATGTCATACAACAGCTATAGGGAAGCTGTTTTGATCCCGTTCGGACTGTTGGATGAATAAAATAGTTTTTGCGCTAGCTTCCTTTGTACTCTATTGCAGTTCGCACTACTTTCTTACGCACGGATTGCTTCGTGAATTGTAATCTAATTCTTCGATTTGAATAGAATCCAAGCGAGGACAGATCATTTGTGAGGAAGTGTTTTCCTTAATCTGTTTCTATAGGTTAGGTATTATTTGCAGTTGGTTAAAAGGTTGATCGAGTATTATTTTCCCTGGCGGGTGTCTAATTGATGTCGCGATTTCTGCAATACCGAATTGCTGATTGATGACTCTAAGCAGTGTTGAGCAATACGCATTCGTCGAAGAGTGTTCCTCAGCGACGGTTCAGTCCTTTGAAGATTCGACCTTCCTTCGAGATGTCAAACTGGCAATCTGAGCTTTTCTACACGAGCTTCGGCGGTAAAAAAAGGCTTCCATCCTTTTCAGTCATCTTTTAAGTTTACTGAGTTTTATGTGGATGAAACGCAGCTGTCCGTGCGCAGGTTTCTTATACTGGTCCAAACAAAAGAAGAGTCACCGTCGCACTGTACTCCATTCCAAATCCATGTCCTCGAAAGGAAGCCAACTGGAAGCCGCCTTTCAAGTTTGAAACGTAATTAATTCGCATCATTCCAAATTCATGTCCTTATCAAAAAGAAAGCTCCCTTTCAAGTTTGAGCTGTAATAATTGGCACTGGTACAAATTTTCAAGGTTCGGATTGTTGAAAATCGATTGAATCTCAAATTAACAAATATGAATCGTTCATCGAAAACCTCTGAAGTCAACAATGGAGGTATGACATATGTATTTTGAATGCAACTCTTTTTAGGATGGTGAATCGATCCCTTGAGAATTGTCAACAAAATATGTGTCTTGACAGCTGTTTTTAGTTTTCTCTTTGCTTATTGACTACGGCACGTCCACAGAACATTAGCTCATCTATAAACTCATCTTTTGTTATCTTCAAAGGACTGCTCTTCTCATTGATCGATCATTAGCTCTTCTGGCACGAGAAAATGGTTTGACTGGGAGGAAACGAGATCGAGGCCTCGACACTCATTTATTAACAAGAATCTACAGTTTTCAGATGAGAGCCAAAGATCAGGGGCCACATACGTTGAGAAAGTTACGCCCTTGCGACTACTTTTCCTGAGTACAAATTCTTGCGCAGTGCGTGCCGACAGGAGTTTTCAACCCTTCACTAATGCCGGCACAAAACTAACGAAGAAGCAGACATGGTCAGTTCATCAAGTATTGATCATACATTCATACATCTCTGATCTCGCAACTCGGAACACTCCCTGGCAATTCTTGCCGTGCACGAGTTTCAACTTTTCATTTCCCTTTTCTTTCTCTCTCTTCAGACTGAGGAAGAAGATTGACAAAGAAATGTCAGTGCCGTAAGATGAGAAACACTTGCGTGAAGATGAGCACTTTACCAACTTGAGGAATGCCCTATACCTCGAAAACTCTCATTGCTGAGGTTGTACTTTGTTTACTCGAATGGTCTAAACCGTTCGAAGAAACCAATTGGACAAGAATGGCGTGAAATCAACCCACGTTTTCCTCGAGAGAACACAGAGCAAAATGAAAGTAGACATATGAAAGCTCAGTTAACTTATCATAACGACACAGTACTTAGTTTTTAATTTGTCAAAGAAATGAATCACCCGAGCAGACACTGAGATAAAAGCTTTCTTGAAAGTTGTTGCACGCCTTTGGGATATTTCGACCCCAAGTGAGCACGTCATTATACACAAATCAAAAATTGCTACAGTTGAGAAGCAACCCTGCTATGTGTACTTGGGTCCATTTCTTTCCTTTTTCTTTTATACAGAGAAAGCTCACCTCACGTAGGTGTATCCCAAATTTATGACATATTCCGCTGCTCTCACGGATGAGATTTGATGCAAGCCACTTCAAGAACTAACAGTATATTAATTTGCATCCTCACGGTAAAATGTCTACTTTTATCTCCCCGAACTGGAGCATATGTTTCGTATGACTCTTTGTAACACCGAACTTCTTCAAATCCCCTGTTTCACCAACAAAAAGGTATGCACCATCAACCATGCTTTGCATAGATGTTGAGATTGAGTGCTTCGCAGGGATTAGAAACTGCGCAGGGTCTTCCACTTATTAGGGAATATGGTACGGGAACTCATAAGTTCCTCCAAGAAAGTAATGAAAAAAACTTCTTTACCATAAACTCTTGAAGGGGTGCCCAACTTTCTCCCAAAACTTTGCTTCCAGTGAATAGATGTAGTTCATAAGCATACCACTATGAGCTCTATCTTTATTAACTACTACTCTGTGTAGAATTAATTCACTCAACCATCGCTCAACAGGAAAATAACGTAACCAACAAACTGATTGATCAAACAAAGCATTAATCTAAAATGCTTCTCAAAGTTGACAAAGTATAGGAGCGTGTCGCGATCTGAAAATCAGTAGAAGATGAGAGTTGAGAACATGGAAATCGTATTTACATTTCAGATGATTCTTGCTTAGCACACCCATATATGTACTGCTTATTGGATTTTTTCCAAAGGATAAACAAATACTATGCGCTCATTGATTTTATTGTGCAGGGAAAGAGGCCATTCTCGTGATAGAGTGATACAAATGTTTATCATGCCGCTACACTCTATGAAACTTGAAAATGAAGCTCAAAATCATACCTTCGTGGAGAAAATTTCCACGAGTGCATACCAAGTCCCTGAAATACCTAGCACGACTCCCAGCACAATAATCCCCACGTCCACACTCCAGCCTTTCCAACTCATCTCTTCCTTGCACACCAGAAAGTGAAACAGAGATGGCAACACAAATCCCAGTCCACAGCATACGCTGCTTCCGACCAATGACAAGAAATCCCCAAAGTTAGGCACCAGCAGGGCAATCAAACCCACTACTAAAACCAGCAGCCATCTCAGCCAAATGCAATATCTTCCGCCCCAGAAACGCCTCTCCACAATTTCATAAACTGGGTGCATCATTAAAGGGAAGGTAAAAAACAAATTGATACAAAGACCCAGTTGCACCATGGTACTAATCAAGCCCTTCCCCATGTTAGCCGTGATTATATCTCTGGTGTTTTCGCCAAACGCCAGGTAACCCAGCAACCCGAATCCTCCGTATATCAATGCAATAAAAGCCATCGCAATGGCCAAGATCTTCCCGAACTTACTCTTATCTTTCATCTCAGACTCCAAAGGCAACGCCATGCCGATCCCTTCAAAAGCATAAACAGCCACACCCATTCCATAAAAGAACACAGACAGACCCCCAAAGGCCTGGACCTCTGCCCCGTTCTTCCAAATAATACCCACATCATCAATCATCACCACGCCCATAGCTCCGAGATCGACTATATCGGCGAAAATGCTCAGAGGTGCCAAATGCGTCAATGTTTTGATTGAATTTAAGCCCAACTGGAATGGCAGAGATCCCCATATATAAAAACTCTTCGCGGAAATACCCCATATCTTTGAACTCAAATACGCAGCCACACGCCTATCCGAGCCCGAATTAAACAATTTAGCCATCGTATTGCCGATATAAATCAAGTAACCGACGCAAAACCCAGCCTGCGACAACACCATCATGATGTCGACAACCATTCGGCCGATCGAACCGCACACCGCGAACCCCAGATCGCCGAAGCACGCGATTTTCGAGAACCCGTCGACGGATTCGAGCTTGCGGCGGGTGATGACCACGCGCATCATGCAGTGGTAGGTCAGGGCGGCGACGGAGAAGAGCATGAGCAGGCTGGTGAGCCACCCGGTGCGCTTGAACGCGTACGGCAGGCCGAGGACCCCCGCCCCGACGATGGCGATGAACACGTTGGCGAAGGTCTTGGCCTGCGAGGACAGAGGGCGCGGCTTACCCAGAAGCGGCGTGTCCTCGCGGGGGAGGGGCTTCAGGGTCTGTGACGACGAGCTCGCTTCTTTGTCGAAACCCATGTTCGGAATCCGACCCAAGATCGATCCGATCACGTCCAAATCCGAAGTGGGTCGCGGCCGTATGGATTCCTGCCGAAGAAAGACGCCGACTTTTTTCGATTTCACGCGACAACCGGCGGCTTTACAACATGCGGGTCAGGCTTGCACTCAAATTCGAAAGCGATTCCAAGTTCTTGCGAGGAGATGATGGAGGACTCAGAGGTATAAGCAAGAACGACAGAGACGGCGAGCCACGATGGTTGGTTTCGATTCCTCCTTGGGGCTTCAGCTTCTGGGTCGGTGATGATGAAGATGAAGATGAAGATGAAGATGGTGGTGGTCTGAAAATCTTGGCAACTGTAGGAGAAGATGATGATACAGAGGAAGGAAGGGAGGAGGAAGGAGGAGGAGAGAGAAGGAAGGTGTGCTGATGGAGTTCCTGTGGATTGTTTGGCAACTGTCTATTCTTTGGGAAAATATATTATTATATATACATATATGTATTTTTTTTATTGTTTTTGGATGATCTGATTTCAAAAATATCTAATAATTTTTTGAAAAAATAACACAAATAATCCCTAATATTTGGGTCAATGCATAATATAGTCCTTGAACTTTTGCTTTGTTCTTCCGATCCATAAATTTTTTGTACATGTTTAATTTAATCCACCAATTATATAAAAATATTCAATATAGTCTTTCCATTATTTCTAGTTCAGGGACTATATCGAATATTTTTATATAGTTCAAGGACTATATTGAACATGTATAAAAAGTTTGGAGATAATATTGAATATTAGGGTAAAGTTCACGGTCTATATTGAATAAATTAAAAATTCAGAGACCATATTATATGTTAGGCCAAAATTCAGGATCATTTCGTAATTTTTTTGCACTAACTAATTATAGGGGGGTCCCACCACATGAGTGGTTTCAAGGAGCGAAAGGGAGGGGCAAAGCAAGAGCCCAGAGGACTAGTAGAGAAATTACACCGTGACAACTGGGCCAAATTCCCTAAAAAACCCCCAAACTTTAGCCTTAGTCCCAATTATATCCCAAACTTTTTTTTGTCTCATAAAAAACCCCAAACTTTTACTTTTATCCCAAATCTACCCCGTTTACTATTCATCTAATTTTTTAATATTATTTTTTCGAATTTTTTTCTTTTTTCTTTTCTTTTCTTTTCTTTTTTTCACCCTCAACCTCCGGCCGGTCGCCGGTCCGGCTGACCGCAAACCGAGGCGAGGGCCGGCGAGGTCGGCCCCGCCGCCGCCGGCGATCTGGCGAGGCTCGGCCCGCCGAGGTCGGCCTCGCCCGGCAACGGTGAGGCCGAGCCTCGCCATTTGTCTGGCGGGTCGACCTCGCCAGGGCAACCGGCGGGGCCGAGCCTCGCCAGATCTGGCGAGGCTCGGCCTCGCCGTTGCTGGGCGAGGCCGACCTCGCCGGCCCTCGCCTCTGGCCGGTCGCCGGACCGGCGACCGGCCGGAGGTTGAGGGTGAAAAAAAGAAAAGAAAAGAAAAGAAAAAAGAAAAAAATTCGAAAAAATAATATTAAAAAATTAGATGAATAGTAAACGGGGTAGATTTGGGACAAAAGTAAAAGTTTGGGGTTTTTTATGAAACAAAAAAAAGTTTGGGATATAATTGGGACAAAAGTTAAAGTTTAGGGTTTTTTATGGAATTGAGCCGTGACAACTGACAAAACTATCAGATTGCTAGATATTTCAAGGAAAATAGATGTATTTTTGCTAAAATAAATAAATAAATCTTGTTTTAATTCAGATGGTCTTTTTAGATTTCTAAATATATATATATATAGGAGAGAGAGAGAGAGACGTAGGAATTATTGGCATGGGCACACAGATCATCGTACCTTTTATATTATAAGCTCATCTCATTTTCCTCAGCAAGTATCTTGCAATCACAGCCTGAATTTCAATTAATTTTATAATTCCTCACGTGTGGGGGGAAAGATTGAGACTTTCCAATAATTTGTCGATTGACTAAACATAAAGTGAGATGAAGTGATTTTACTTCAGTTGATTGTGGCCTCTGGTTTAATGTATATATTTGGGATGTTCTTACATGTTATGACATGGCCGCCAGTGACTGCAGCCATGCCACTCTGGGTAATCAGCCTTCTTGTCCAACTTTGGAGCTCATCTTGATTTGTCCGTTCACCTTATTAGGAATGTAATCTGATCCATCATCAGTTGTATTTGTGGCATTCTTCAAGTGTTTCCTAAAAAAGAAAGACTATAGTTATTAAACTCTAGGAAAACGATACTATTAGTTCATGAATTTTGACAATATGTACAATCCCATCATTGGACTTTTAATTTGTTAACCGTGATCGTTGAACTGATCCTTGATGTTCAGTCCGTCAAAGTCATGTTCAATTCCCAAGTTTCTGTAAGTACAATATTGTTCGGGTTTTAAAATATACGGTTCATTTCAATCCATTATCTTAAGGGAAAGACCACGAAAAATCCCAAATTATATCCACTCTGACACATTTACCTTAAACTATTCTCTGCGACACAAAAAATCTCAAACTTGCACATGTATGACACATTTACCTTCCGTCAAGGTTCCATCAATGAACACTATTAAAAATCTATCAACACAAATGCCAAAATGCAAACGGTGTTAATATGGGGTTCATGTGACTTAAGTTAAATAAAAATGACGTTGTCTTGGCTGAAAAATCATTTAATGGAACCTTGACGGAAGCTAACTGTGTCATGTAGATACAAGTTTGGATTTGTTATGTCATAAGAAAAAGTTTAGGATTAATGTGTTACATTAGGCATAGTTTGAGGTTTTTAATACACCAGAAAAAAGTTTATGATAAGTGTGTCACAGTAGGTATAATTTGAAGTTTTTTGTGCCTTTTTTCCTTATCTAAATATTTGTTTACCTTTTTTTTCTTTACAATTGTTACGATAGTTCCATTTAAAGAAACTAAAATAGCAAGAATATCAACCTCATATTACTCTATATGAGGTTCTACTTATCTATTGTAGAGATCATAAGTTACAGCATACTTAAATGGAACTATCATAACATTTTTAAAGACAAAAGAAAAAGTAATAAAAGTATAGCATTTTTTTTGTTGATTTAGATAATAGATAGAAATGAAAATGTACATTAAAATATGGGGAAGAATGCAATTAAGAAAACTTGTGAAATAGTAACGAAGGATGACATTGAAGATTTACGAATCGTTGAGGGACTAGATTGATCAAATTTAAAGTTTAGGGACTATATTGAACATTTAGGAATAGTATAAAGACCACATTGAACAAATTAAAAGTTCAAGGACGACATTGCACATTGTGTCAAAGTTAAGGAATTATTAGCATAATTTTTTCTTAAACGTTTCATGGCAATTTGTGCGGTGCATAGAAACGACGAGACATATATGTTTGAGTAAATCTATGTACCAATGCAACAATTCATTTAGGGCATGATTGGACTGGACTGGTATTGTTTGCCATGTTTCAGAGATTGGGCCGACGACGCCAACAGGCTGAGCTTCAAAACTTTGTCCGCACACGGCAGGCGGAATCCTACTATCCCTGGTTAGCGACCGTGCTACATAGGCATAATCAGTCAAAGTGCACCCTTTTCTAAGCTCCTCTAACGTCATTCAAACGGTTCCACAGCGTCGTTTTGCTCGTCGAAAATCTTTTTGCCACGGCCGTGTTGCCTGTATGTAGGTGCGAGGTCATAGGTCCTCTTCGAGATAGCTTCAAAGGTCATGGTATTGAACAAGTTAGTTGGGTTTTGGAAGTTGACGATGCCTGTCCCCGTTCAAGTGCATTCCCAGAAAGCCAAGAGATCGGATGACGAAATTGGTGTTTGGCAGCTCAGTTTTGAGTATGCGATGGCGGCTTCATTGCGAGCCAAATGGTGGCTTTCTAACGAGAACTGTATACGGATGAGATGCCCGTCGACATCGGCATTCTTTCTCTTGGCCATTGTTTCAAATTTGACTTGACCTTCCAGTGTACAGATAATGTACGAGGGGTTGAAGCCATTTTCGATCAAATTTGTTCACCATATGTTTCTTTTAATGCAATGACACAAGCTCATCTGAAGTGAATTGTTCCGCAATTCAAGCTTATTGCCACTTTCTGTTTTCTTTCCTCTTCCTGGATAACTGAGACATAATTTATGCCTGCAAGGCAGCTATTTAATTGCCATAGGCATAGACGACTCTTCATATCAAATCTGCAGAAGGTAAATCGTAGCTGTGAATCATACTGAAGCTGGAAATACTTTTTGCGATGCCAATATTCATGATTCTTATGTGGGAACTTTAGTCTAGCTTTAATGATGATATCTTTCATCTGAAAACCAGAAAATCAAATATTCATAAGGCAACTGGTTATCAGATGCAATGGTGATTACTTGGTAGATCTCCATAGTGATACCAACCGTTCTAGCTACTGGAAATCAGAACAAATTCCTAAGTCGATTGTGTTATGTCAAAAAAGTATATATTCCAAGCGCCTACTTTACACCCAAATGTCCATGCAAAAGTGGAGCAGTTCATTCAACCTTTAGTACAGAGCGGACTAAAGCCATCCTTGAATTGAACAAACACTAATATCTTTGAAAATAACAACAAAATCGTCTGCTGAAAATTAAAAATAAAAGTGAAGAAAGATAATCGTCATCTTCCTTCGACCGTTGTACTAGTGACAGTGTTAACAGACCAGACACCTTCTTGCTTTGATGGGATAGCACGATTTGGCATTTCGGTTTGGAAAGTGAATGTAGGCTGTCTCGGCTGAGGAAGATCCGATTCGCCACTTAGCATCAGAACCACATCAGACATGTTTGGTCTATCCATGGCATGGTCCTGAACACAGAGAAGCCCGACATGGATGCATCTTGTTACCTCCAACGGAGAGCTAACAGCAATTGTTTCATCCATTAGGTCCAATGTGTAGCCTTCACTCCATAAATGCCAAGCCTATAAGATAGAACTATGTCATAATATCGCAGGGAACTCACACTATCACATAAGGTTGGAATTTGGCACTTACGTAGGAAAGGAGATTGAGATATTGTCCCTGGTCACACAGGGCCGTGTTCTTTTTGCCGCTAACAATCTCCAATAGCAACACCCCGAAGCTATAGATGTCAGACCTCTCGGAAAACATTCCACCCATGGCATACTCAGGAGCGATATAGCCACTGCAGTTGAGTTGAACATGTTATGTACTCTTTTGTTCAATTGAAGGAAAACAGAATGAAACTTGCGTAGAGTGACAGGTTTGTTGCGATAAATCAGTCATTTCTGTTTGCTTGAAAAGTTTGACTCAACGGATTGATAATTCAAGTAGGACTAGAGAGCTTACAGTGTTCCAACAATTTTCTGAGTGTTCACCAAAACTTGAGTGCCCTCGAACATTCGGGCCAATCCAAAATCCGAAATTTTCGGGTTCATTTTTTCATCCAAGAGAATATTGCTCACTTTTAAATCTCGATGTATGACCCTGAGGCAAGAATCTCGATGGAGGTAGAGAAGCCCCCTTGCAATCCCTTGAATAATTTGGAATCGTTTGCCCCAGTCAAGTTCTGCCTTCTTTCTTGAATCTAACAAACAGGACAAACATGAACAGTTATCGACTTTTAGTGCTATGCCATAATATACTACCAAAAACGGTAAGTCGGAGAGAAAAAGCCAACCAAAGAGAAAGGTGTCCAAGCTTTTGTTCGACAAGTACTCGTATACCAAAATCTTTTCTTCTCCTTCAATGCAGCAACCCAGGAGTTTAACAAGATTTCGATGTTGAAGTTTCGATATTAGGACGATCTCATTCTTGAACTCTTCAACGCCTTGGGCTGAGCTACTAGAAAGCCTTTTCACAGCTACCATCCCACCATTCAGCTTTCCCTGTTTCGCAATTCCAATAGCGTTTAGACCTTGAATTATTCTATATTTCCATTTATCGAATGTCCTGCAGAATGGTTTTACCTTGTAAACGGGGCCAAACCCTCCTTGGCCGAGTTTACTTGTCATGCTGAACTTGTTTGTAGCAAGTAGTATGCTATCAAAACTGAAAAGGGTCAAATCCGGTGAATCATCTTGCTTCAATTCACCCAGATTTTCAGGTGCATCTACTGAGTCAAGGACCCTTAGAATTTTGCTCAAGTTTCCTGTGTTTATTATTGGCGAAGAATTAACTTACCTTCTTCATAATGATAAAAGATTAAACAAAATAGAAGCACAATCCTTTGATAACACTAATGTGGCTCTTTTATAGTACCTCTTTTCTTAGCTCTCCATTTGCAAAGACCAAAACCAAACACGGCAAAGAACATGATCCCGGCAATGGTACTCAGGCTGATGCTAACTGCTTTCCGTGATGATCCTCCTGAAATGGGACAGAGAGTTATGTAAAAGACAATTGGTGTCGTTCAAACTCATCTCAGTGAAACAATTTCTAACCTGTTTTTACATGTGCCACTCGAACAAATAGATCTTCCCCAACTGTGGAAAATTTCTGAAGATCGATGAGGTCTTTAGTCCAAACCATACACCCGATGGTGCTGACATAAGAATAAGCCAAGCAAGAACAATTGCTCAGGCACCAGCTTAGACATCCTTCTTGATCTATAATGTATGATAAATAGTCCCCAGAGTCAGGTAGTTTCATCTGGCTCATTCGCCCAAAGGCATCTTTCTTTACGTTTGTCGAAGCTGATGTGCTTGTGTTTTTCTGGCAATTCAATTCTGTCTCTCTTACACATCCTCCGGTCCAGTTTCTACTGTTCCATTCCTCATTTGACTTTGGCACAAATCCATCTAAGCATCTGCAAATAGGCGATTTCAACGAGTTACAAACTCCAAAAGGACCACAAGTTCCATAAATCTCGCAAGTATTGTTTGGTGCCTCCCAAATCGTCAACCACGCCTTAGCTCCATCAACCCAGTACATTAACTTAAGAGATCCTCTAGGTGAAACGAACATGTATCCAGGGATGCTGTACGAAAAGTAAGTGGTCCCCTGCTGAATATCTTGCTGGACATTGTACCCACTCAGGTACGATTGGTCCATGCCTTCTATGCCGATAAATTTTGATTTGTCCCATTGCCCACCTCTCCAGTAAGGGGTCGAACCATTCCAAGTGAAAGGCTGAGGCGGCGTCTCCGATGAAATTCCAGTCACGAAACTTCCAGGGGACGGATCAGTGTCACTTCTCCAGGAAATTAAATACTGTTTCGCTCCAGTCCTGACATTTACTCCCATCTTCATGCCCGGAAGAAGAGTGTCTGTTGGATGCTCGAAGCTTCCCCATATTACAGTATAGTTGGCATCTTGCAGAACAAAATTCCCACTATCTAATAGTGCTGCTGAAGTATTATTGGACTGACCAGAGACATTGGTAAACCAAACTATTTTCTGTTGTCCATCGACGAGCTCCAGATTTCCATCGCTGCCTATCGTTAATTTTGCAGACCGATCTGTGTACGCAAGCGGCGCATCCCTATTGGCCACCCACACGATTTTAGAAGGCGTCAAGTTCTTGTACCGTATGCCAACATACCGATTTTCTGACCCATTCGGCGTGAAGAACCCAAGCTCGAAGATTTTGCCAGGGGAGAGGAGAGTTTGGTTTGCAAAGAGCGGGTCCGATGCAGTAATATTGTTAACCATGCCACTGGCTATATGACTTGCCTGAAGTAGGAAGAAGACGATTAAGCAAGAGCACCAAGCAATTATAAGTCGCATGATAAGAATGACTGAACGAGCCTATCGAATTCGGTGGGTCGGTTATTCTGCACTTTCTGCCGATCAAGAATAGATGAACAAGATCTTTTGCGAGGCAAACTATGGTGCTCAAGGTATGATGACTTTCAAGTCTTTTTTATGCTTGTCTCATTTCACCAACGAACTAACCACTTGGCGCTGATATTGCCACAGAATGGCCGAAAAGATCATGTTGAGATTGTCGTTTTGTTACCACTTGCATCTTATTGTGTGGCATCCAAATCATTTGAGTCAAAAAGGTTGGCTCAAAATCAATTGTATTCAGAACAGCACACCCCCATTGACTTACTCAAATTTGACTTAACGTTGGGGATTATTCCTCGCCTACCTCGCCACCTATTCAAATTTGACTCCGCCTCTCAGTTTACACTCGAGCCACCCTCCCCCACAAATTCGAATTGCGTGTGTTAGCCAAGATATCGGATGAGATCGAAGTGTTGTGTTACCAACTATACAAAGCTTCGCGATGTCGTGAGAAAACGGGTTTAATGTAGAAATGCTCCATATGTAAATTCAGTCATGCCAAAAAACAGGTGTCAACTCTCTAGTACCTAAGGATCGGTTTCAAGTGATTGTAACCGAACGTGAAAACTTCTTTCCACCAAAACACATTTAAAAGTGGGTCAGAAGTGAAAATCTGCATCACGTGGTTAAAATTGACGATTTTTGGACGGAGGATTAATGGATAATTTTGGAACTAAATTAATTTTTTTTATCTTTTTAGACGAAAACATTTTGAGTCAAAATAGAGATCAAACCTAAAATTGAGTGTAATTTAGGGAATTGGGCCTATAAACATCGGAATTCTAGGAAAATATCCCGCCAATGGCTTACTCAGGAGACATGTAGCTGCTGCATAGTTCAAACGTTAAATTCCAGTCCATAGAATATCATCATCATAACAGAGCTATGAGACCCGGACCGAAGATTCGTGGGATGCACTTCAAAAATTAGAAATTCCTTAAATAAGCTAGGACGAAGGTCAGAAAAGCTGAGGTTGATAGCTTTGCGACATCCCGAACACCAACAGCTTTTTGCTCTTGATTCTTAAGAAATTACTCTCGATCTTGTGGAAGTGCACGAGGTGAACATGTTTTTCTTTCTATGTATTGAATTTTGTATCCCTAAATAATTTTTTTTTACCACTTATTCTTTTTGACATGATTGTTATTTTATAAGCTTTAAAGGATGAAAAGGTCTTTAAACATTACTATTATATGTGTGAACATGTCTAGTTGGGTCATGTGGAAAACGAATGACACGTAATTTAAATGTGTCGATTCTTATCTAAACGGCTTAAGCACCACTCAAGCAACATATGATTTTTGTTGTGTGACCCGACATTTTTTCTTCCCTTCTTTCTCTAGCTACTTGCTGGACCTCGGAGACCGGCCAGAGGCGAGGACCGATGAGATCGACCTGGCTCCTATATACGAGGACCAGCGAGGCTCGCTCTTGTCCAGCGACGGGTAGGTTAAGCCTCACCAAGGGCGGGTGAGGCTCGCCCTCGCTAGCGCAACCAGCTAGACGAAGAAGGGAAGAAAAAAAAAAGAAAGAAAATAAAATAAAAAATTCAAAAATTCGAAAAATTATTAAAATATTATTTAAAAATGTCAGCGCCGCCCACGCTATGTAGGATAGCCAGTGTTCATATCAGCGATTTTTGACCAAATCGGCCGGACAAACTGAATTTGCACAAATGCAAAAGATTTACGACTTAATTAGCAAAAAAAAAGATTTATGACTAAATTGACATAATTACGATAAGTTTAAGACTTTTTTTTTTGTAGTTCTCCCGTTAAATGCATGAACTTTCCCGTGCTCACTCCACTCTACATTCTACATCTACGTCCACAGTGCTCCTAGATAATTTCTTGGCGCCAAGGACGATATTGTTGAATTTTATGTAATGCCAAGTCTAGGAAAATTATGGAAGGATTAAAGAAAAATTAGGGGCTTATTTTTATGCTTATCTCGCACGTGACAACTGTTTTTCTTAAATTAGAAAAATGTTACTCTTATTTACCTCACTCCTATATTGTAATGCACAGCTTACTTTATTAATGTATAATCATGACAAATCGGAGCGAAAAGGGTTTTTCATGAGATGTGAAATGAAAGCTCAAAGAAGGTATCAAATATGTAGGGGGCGGTGGAAAGAATTACAATCCCCATCCCCGTATGCCCATTGGTGCAGGATTCTTTGAAAAAGCGCAGGCTGAAAGTAATAATCGTTATTCCAAATTCAATTTCATCAGCTCTGCAACTATGATTCTGACTTTCTTTATTTTTTTAGTTTCATGTAAATCAAGGTTGATATTGGGATACACCCATCTACAACATAAAAAGTTGTATCTATCTTTAACGTTTATATACATTGACACAATACCATATAGAAAGGAGAAAAAAAATGAAATACACATTGAATAAATAGATTTTTAACTGCTCCCTATGACGAGAGTGTAAGAAAATTTTACACAATGACTATCACATACGTCTCTTATTAATCACATAATCATATTCTTTCATGTCTCGATCACGTATTTTTCCGCTGCCAATTAGGGAAAATTTTTACATGAATGCTGCATGTGAACTAAATTAAATCTCATTGACACTAGTAAGTCTCATGTAGATCTTATATAAGAGCCACTAGATTTGATAACTCAAATTCAATACTTGTTGCGCTTCCAAAAGGGAATTTAAATGTGAAAGGTTTTTAGTTGACTTTTGAATTTCGAGATATGCTTAGGTGATCGGAAATTTATGTATGTTGAGCAGATTTGATGATGGGAAAACAAGAATAGAAGCAGAAAGTGGACGTGGGCATATTTACTTTGGTGGAGGGTAGGTCCGAGGCAAAATTCTCCAACAAACAGCATAAACCCACACTGAGGAATCAGACGGATTTGATGAACTTAACTTTCTTTTTGCAAGTGGCTGGTCTCAGGTGAAAACAAGAAAAAAAAAAGAAAATTCATAAAAATTTTAAAAATTCCAAAAATCAACCACATCAATGTCGGCCATGTCACGTTAGTCGACCAGTATCAATGTCAGCGATTTTTTATTAAAATTGATTGGAACTAGGCTTAGGATTAAATTGAGACAACTGAAAGATTTAGAACTGAATTGGCTGCTATATAATAGGTTTAGAACTTGTTGGACAATTATCCCATCATTTGACGGGTCTAACATTGTGCAAATGAGTTGTGTCGGGAATTAACTATTCTAATTAGACATGTTATCACAGACACAATCTCACTATGATTCTCAAGAAAGTAATATAGGTTATGATTAAAATACATCAATTACTTTACTGTCAATCTTGACTAGCCATCCACTGATCTAGAACCTCATAACAAGTTGTCAAACCATGTACACAAGTCCAAGAACCTCTAGCAATGTGATTCGTGGGGAAAAGTGTCAAAAAAGTCCTAAACCTTTTGCATTTGTGCCAATTTAGTCCTAAACCTTTTTTTGGTGCCAATTCAGTCCTAAACCTTTTGCATTGGTGCCAATTTAGTCCTAAACTTTTTTTTGGTGCCAATTAAATCCTAAAACTTTTAAATTGGTGCCAATTCAGTCCTAAACCTTTTGTTTTTGTGCCAATTTAGTCCTTCCAGTCAATTTTAACCGGAATTTGCCGACGTGGACGCCTACCGGCCGGCGGCCGGTCACTGGCGCCCTACGTTGACAACTTTAATAATATTTTAATATTTTTTTGAATTTTTATTTTTTTTCCACTTTTTTTTTGTCCCCCCCCCCTCCTTCATCTGGTCGGTCACCTGTCCGGCGACCGGCCAGAGGCCAGAGGCCCGCGAGCTCGACCTCGCCGGCCACTGGCAAGGGCGAGCCTCGCCTTGGTCGGGCCTCGCTGCGGCCTCCGGCGAGGGCTCGAGCCTCGCCATGGTCGGGCGAGGCCCGAGCTCGCCGGATCTGGCGAGGTCGACCTCGCCCGACCAAGGCGAGGCTAGCCCTCGCCGGGCGAGGCCGCCGCCCTCGCCAGTGGCCGGCGAGGTCGAGCTCGCCGGCCTCTGGCCTCTGGACGGTCGCCAGACCGGCGACCGGCCAGAGGAAGGAGGGGGGGACCAAAAAAAAAAGTGGAAAAAAAAGAAAAAAAGGAAAAAAAAATTCAAAAAAATATTAAAATATTATTAAAGTTGTCCACGTCGGCGCCGGTGACCGGCCACCGGCCGGCAGGCGTCCACGTCGGCAAATTCCGGTCAAAATTGACCGGAAGGACTAAATTGGCATAAAAATAAAAGGTTTAGGACTGAATTGGCACCGATTTAAAAGGTTTAAGACTTAATTGGCATCAAAAAAAGGTTTAGGACTAAATTGGCACCAATGCAAAAGGTTTAGGACTGAATTGGCATCAAAAAAAGGTTTAGAACTGAATTGGCACTAATGCAAAAAGTTTAGGACTTTTTTGACACTTTTCCCGTGATTCGTGGATCATCCGCAACCTAAGTATTAAAAAGTTGAATATATTGCGCAAGTTTAGGTGACATCTGAAGTTCCACGTGAATCACATGCAAGTATATTCATTTAAATGTTTCGTCAATGAGATCAATGACTAACCCACTAGGGCCACAACATCTTATGGTGAGGACAAATTTTCCCATCACGAGATTGACTTACGTTGAACCACACAACGCGAAGTTAAGGTCCTTCGAATGGACTAAGGATGCGTTTGGTTGGACTTTGTCAAATGCCTTTGGATGACCCCATTTTTTCTTTCAAGAGATTAAATATAAAATAAGGCTTAAGAATCGAAGCAGCAATATTATTACGTGGGAACTTTAGTCTAGCTTTAATGATGATATCTTTCATCTTAAAAAACCAGAAAATCAAATCTTCTTAAGGCAACTGGTGATGAGACGTGAAGGTGATTACTCGGTAATTCTCCTTAATGATACCAACCGCTGTGGCTATAGTAAATCAGAACAAACTCTTAAGTCGATCGTGTTATGTCAAAAAAGTATATATTCTAAGCGCCTACTTTACACCCAACGATTCATGCAAAAATGTGGAGCAGTTCATTCAACCTTTTGTACAGAGCGGACTAAAGCCATCCTTGAATTGAACAAACACTAATATTTTAGAAAATAACAACAAAATCGTCTGTCGAAAAAGGAAAAGAAAAGTGAAGAAAGATAATCGTCATCTTCCTTCGACCATTGTATTAGTGACAGTGTTAACAGACCAGATGCCTTCTTGCTTTGATGGGATAGCACGATTTGGCATTTCGGTTTGGAAAGTGAATGCAGGCTGTCTCGGCTGAGGAAGATCCGATTCGCCACTTAGCATCAGAACCACATCAGACATGTTTGGTCTATCCATGGCATGGTGCTGAACACAGAGAAGCCCGACATGGATGCATCTTGTTACCTCCATCGGAGAACTAATGGCAATTGTTTCATCCATTAGGTCCAATGCGTAGCCTCCACTCCATAATTGCCATGCCTATAAGAGAAAACTATGTCATAAAATCGCAGCGAATTTAGACTATGGAATAAGGTTGGAATTTGGCACTTACGAAGGAAAGTAGATTGAGATATTGTCCCTGGTCACACGAGGCCGTGTTCTTTTTGCCACTAACGATCTCCAGTAGCAAGACCCCAAAGCTATAGACGTCGGATCTCTCGGAAAACATTCCGCCCATGGCATACTCAGGAGACATATAGCCACTGCGGTTGAGTTGAACATGTTATGTACTCTTTTGTTCTATTGAAGGAAAACAGAATGAAACTTGCGTAGAGTGACAGGTTTGTTGCGATAAATCAGTCATTTCTGTTTGCTTGAAAAGTTTGACTCAACGGATTGATAATTCAAGTAGGACTAGAGAGCTTACAGTGTTCCAACAATTTTGTGAGTGTTCACCAAAACTTGAGTGCCCTCGAACATTCGGGCCAACCCAAAATCCGAAATTTTCGGGTTCATTTTTTCATCCAAGAGAATATTGCTCACTTTTAAATCTCGATGTATGACCCTGAGGCAAGAATCTCGATGGAGGTAGAGAAGCCCCCTTGCAATCCCCTGAATAATTTGGAATCGTTTGCCCCAGTCAAGTTCTGCCTTCTTTCTTGAATCTAACAAACAGGACAAACAAGAACAGTTATCGACTTTTAGTGCTATGCCATAATATACTACCAAAAACAGTAAGTCGGAGAGAAAAAGCCAACCAAAGAGAAAGGTGTCCAAGCTTTTGTTCGACAAGTACTCGTATACCAAAATCTTTTCTTCTCCTTCAATGCAGCAACCCATGAGTTTAACAAGATTTCGATGTTGAAGTTTCGATATTAGGATGATCTCATTCTTGAACTCTTCAACGCCTTGGGCCGAGCTACTAGAAAGTCTTTTCACAGCTACCTCTTTCCCATCATTCAGCTTTCCCTGTTTTGCAGTTCACATAGCTTTCCAACCTTTAATAATTTCTATATTTCCATTTATCGAATGTCCTACAGAATGGTTTTACCTTAAAAACAGAGCCAAACCCTCCTTGGCCGAGTTTACTTGTCGTGCTGAACTTGTTTGTAGCAAGTAGTATGCTATCAAAACTGAATAGGGTCACTTCCAGTGAATCATCTTGCTTCAACTGCTCTTTCCATGCATTTCCTTGTACTAGTTCACCCAGATTTTCAGGTGTATCTACCGAGTCAAGAAGCCTTGGAATTTTGCTCAAATTTCCTGTGTTTATTATTGGTGAGGAATTAACTTAGCTTCTTCATAGCGATGGAAGATTAAACAAATAGAAGCGCAATTCTCTGGAAACACTAATCTAACTCTTTAATAGTACCTTTTTTCTTAGCTCTCCATTTGTAAAGACCAAAAACAAAAACGGCAAAGAACATGATCCCGGCAATAGTACTCAGGCTGATGCTAACTGCTTTCTGTGATGATCCTCCTGAAATGGGACAGAGAGTTGTGTAAAAGACGATTGGTGTTGTTCAAACTCATCTCAATCAAACAATTTCTAACCTGTTTTTACATGTGCAACTCGAACAAATAGATCTTCCCCAACTGTGGGAAATTCCTGAAGATCGATGAGGTCTTTAGTCCAAACCATACACCCGATGGTGCTGACATAAGAATAAGCCAAGCAAGAACAATTGCTTAGGCACCAGCTTAGACATCCTTCTTGATCTCCAATGTATGATAAATAGTCACCAGAGTCGGGTAGTTTCATCTGGCTCATTCGCCCAAAGGCATCTTTCTTTACGTTTGTCGAAGCCGATGTGCTTGTGTTTTTCTGGCAATTCAATTCTGTTTCTCTTACACATCCTCCGGTCCAGTTTGCACCTTTCCATTCTACATTTGACTTTGGCACAAACCCATATAAGCATCTGCAAATAGGTGAATTCAATGAGTTACAAACTCCAAAAGGACCACAAGTTCCATAAATCTCGCATGTATTGTTCGGCCCCACCCAATTCGTCAACCACGCCTTAGCTCCATCATCCCATGTCATTGACTTAAGAGATCCTCCAGGCGAAACAAACAAGTATGCAAAGAAGCGGTTGTAAGTATCGAACCAAAAGTAAGTGGTCCCCTGCTGAATATCTTGCTGGACATTGATCCCACTCAAGTATGATTCTTCCATGTCTTCTATGCCAATAAATTTTGATTTGTCCCATTGCCCGCCTCTCCAGTAAGGGGTCGAACCATTCCAAGTAAAAGGTTGAGGTGGCGTCTCCCCTGTCATTCCAGTCGAGAAACTTCCAGGGGACGGATCATTGTCACTTCTCCAGGAAATTAAATACTGTTTCGCTCCAGTCCTGACATTTAGTCCCATCTTCATGCCCGGAAGAAGAGTGTCTGTTGGATCCTCGAAGCTTCCCCATATTACAGTATAGTTGGCATCTTGCAGAACAAAATTCCCACTATCTAATAGGGCTGCTGAAGTATTATTGGACTGGCCGGAGACATTGGTGGACCAAACTATATTCTGTTGAACGTCCATGAGCTTCAAATTCCCATCACTGCCTATCGTTAATTTCGCAGACCGATCTGCGTACATGAGTGGCACATCTCTATTGGCCACCCACACGATTTTAGAAGGCGTCAAGTTCTTGTACCATATGCCAACATACTGATTTTCTGACCCATTCGGTGTGAAGAACCCAAGCTCGAAGATTTGGCCAGAGGAGACGAGACTTTGATTCGTAAAGAGTGGCTCGGATGTAGTAACATTGTAAACCGCGCTGCTGGCTGTATGACTTGCCTGAAGTAGGAAGAAGAAGACCAAGCAAGAGCACCAAGCAATCATAATTCGCATGACAAGAATGAGTGAATGAGCCTAGCGAGTGCGGTGGGTCAGTTTTCTGCACTTTCTGCAGATCAAGAATAGATTAACAAGATCTTCTGCGGGTCAAACCTTGGTGCTTAAGGTATAATGTCTTTTAAGTCTATTACTTATGCTTGTCCAAAGTTCATTTAGTCAACAAACTAACCACTCGGTGCTGATAATGCCTGCCTCAGACTACATGTACATGTTCAGATTATTGTTATTTTACTTGCATATAGCGTAACATCACAACCATCTGAGTCAAAAGGGCGGCTAAAAAACAATCTTTTTCTTAAGAGCACATCTTCATTGACTGTTAAAAAGGTTGGAATTGTTCCTCGCCACCGTTCAAATTTGACTTAGCCTCTCAGTTTACACTTGAATCATCCTCCTCCAAAAATTCGAATTATTGGTGTTAACCGAGACATCAGATGAGATCAAAGAGTTGTGTAATCTACTATTTAAGGCCGTAGTACCTCATCCGGTTTAAGGATCAGTTTCAACTTTCAACTGATTGCAACTGAACCTAGAAAAATTCTTCTGACACAAAAAAAAGGAAGAAAAACATGTGGGATGATGACACAAATAGCATTGAAGGTTTATTCAATGTATAATGTTATCCTGGGACTCTCAATTGTTTGTCCAATATGCGATATGGTCCCTAAATTTTCAATTGCTTGAATTTATATTAGAATAAACGTTTGAGATGAGTACATCAAAGCCATTTAAATTGAGGAAACTTCCAATCATAAAACCCTCAACAAATTCCATATTAACTTAAAAACTTGTTTTGATTGTACTTGCAAGACTCCTAACTCCTCTTTAATCAAAACTAATGTCCCATGTGTGATTTCGTTTCTTCAGATAACATTTATACATTTACAAATAACTTAAAGTTAATTGATCGCTTGTTGGAGTTTTAAAATTTGATAGTAAATAAAAATCTTTTTTGTTTCTAAATCAGGCTTTGACCCGAAGCAGCCTAGACCGAACCGAACTGATTCAGCCAATTTTCTTTTAATTAGAGATAGGCCATTGAGCGAGATCATAAAATTTAGCCTCGATTTTTCGTGCCTGGTCAAGAAATTGCTCTAGACTTAGCTTGTGCAACCCTTTTTGCATACCTTGCTTTCTACCTGAGCACCGATCTAGTGCATTGCCACTGTCATCGTTGATTCAATACCTGCGAGCTGGACGGACTCAACAGCTAATTTACTTTGAACAGATTGTGCGTTCGCTTCTTGACACTGCGAGCTCAAGTTAGTTGATGAATGTAGTACTTAGTGAGTGAGGATAGAAACCGCCTCTTTGACAGAGGGATATCAGCCAGACCACGCCACCGGCAGAGAGAAACTCTTGCTTCAATTCAGGTCCATGAGTCCAAAATAATCTCATGGTTGATCGTGTGGCACATATATTGTGGGTTCACATGATCAACGATTACGTTAGACCTGGTCCATGTGTACCTAGATCCAGGCAAGGATATGCCAACTGATGAACCCCTCACTTCAGAATTCTCATCTATCTCCTCTGTTTTTCAGTTTGGCCTAGAGATCGGTGAGAGTCTCCCAAAACTGAACTGTCCGTTCATCCTTATGTACAGAATGCAGACAGAAGATGACAATTGATCATCTACGTTCAACGACAGTGCTAGTGAAAGCGTTTGTGGACCAAATACTTTCTTCTTGTGATGACTGGATTTCATGAGTTGTCAAGCTTTGAGAGGTAAATGTAGGTTGTTTCGGCTGGGGAAGATCCGATTCGCCGCTTAGCATCAAAACCACGGGTGACATGATGGGCCTATCCACGACATGGTCTTGCACGCAGAGAAGCCCTACGTGAATTCATTGAATCACCTCTGACGGCGAAAAGGCGTCGCCAATCGCCTCATCCATTAATTGTGAGATAGATGTTGCCCTTACTTGAAAGAGGAGATTGAGATGTCCTCTGTCGTATTTTAAGCTAGTGTTCATTTTACTACTGACTCTGGGAGCGGTAGTCCGAAGCTATAAACATCGGATTTCTCAGAAAATATCCTCCACCCATGGCACCCTCAGGAGACACGTAGCTGCTGTGTAACTCAAACATGTTAAATTGTCATCCATAGAATGGCGCAATCATAATAAAGCTATGAGGCCTGAACCCAAGATTTGCGGGATGCACTTCAAAAGTTAGAAAAACCTTAACTAAGATAGGATTAAGGTCAGAAAAGTTGAGGCCGATAGATTTTACTACATCCCGAGCATCAACAGCTTTGCTCTTGATTCTTAAGAAATTACTCTCGATCTTGTGGACATGCACCGGGTGAATTTGTTTTTCTTTATGTTTCATGACTTTGTATCCCTAAAAATGTTTTTTGACCACTTATTCATTTTGACATGTTATTTTTAGAAGCTTTCAAGGATGAAAAAGTCTTTAAATATGAGTATTAAAAGTGTTAGTTAATTCAAACGCGTCGGCTATTGTCTAAACAAGTTAAGCGGGTCAATCCACGTAAAACACGATTTCAACTATGGGACTTGTTTATGACACTCGAACTTGTTAATGTCACACTTGTCGTGCACATGGAATTTGTCAAGAATTATCCGCTCTAATCAAGCATGTTATCACTGATACAATCTCTTTATGGCTCTCATGAAACTAGTATAGATCGAGTAAAATGTATCCATGTGAGTGCATTTTGATGTGCTCCGCCTTTATGGTCAATTTGATTAGCGATCCACTGATCTAGCACCTTAGATGTGCTATCAAACCATGTACACACGTCTAGGAACTTCTGGCAATATGATTCATGGATCAACGGCGACCTAAGCACCGTAAAATAAATATATATTAATTTATGTCACGAGTTTCGATGACATCTAAAGTTCTCCGTCAATTCCACACATATATTTTCATTCAAAAATCTCCTTAACGAGATCAATGACTACCCCATTATGGATGTGCAAAATGGACCGTCTAAACCAAGAACCTCTCGGACCGGACCGGATCGGACCGGACTGGACCAGTCAGTTTGGTCCGATTCCCGAGAGTGTCAGTCTGGTTCCTAGTTCCCAAAAGTGGAACCGGTGTCCGGGTGTTCTGGTTCCCGATTCAAAAAAGAACTAGACCGACTACATATACTTTTTTTATTTTCTTATTTCTTCAAAAAAAATTAGTAAAATGTGAACTAAACCTTAAGTGAAGCATGTTTTTTTATTCGTCTTTTCAATTTGAGGATTATTACATACATATCACTTAATTCAACACGAAAAAATAGCACTAAGGCTCCGTTCATTTGGCAGAAAATATTCTCCCGGAAAATATTTTCCGGGTTTTCCGATGTTCGGGGGACGGAAAACGTTTTCCGTGGGAAAATATTTTCCTTCCCCCCCTCACAAAATAGCCTAAGTCTACGGAAAATGACTTCCGCTTCTTCAAAAGCGGAAATCATTTTCCGGAACTTCTTCTTCTTCTTCACTAAGGTCGCCAGCCGCCGCCGCGGTCGCCGGCCCGCCGCCGCCGCCGGCCGCCGGCCGCCGCCCGCCGCCGCCGCCGGTCGCCGGCAAAAAATATTTTCCGAAACTTTTTCATATTGATCGCCGAACACCGGAAAATTATGTTCCGGGAAAATATTTTCCAGGAAAATGACTTCCGGGAAAATATTTTCCAAAAGGAGAATATTTTCCGCCAAACGAACGGAGCCTAAGTAGTGAAAAAAAAAAAAGTGACCGGTTCTATTGGATCGAACCGGAAACCACCCCTATACCTCACAAGGGCCACGACATCTTTTGGTGAGGGCAATTTTTCCCATGACGAGGTTGACTTACGCTGGACCACACACGTAGGAAGTTAAGGTTCCTTGGGATGGACCAATAGGAACATGGACTTACGTGCATCCATTAGATGACCCTAGAGTTCTCTTCTTCTTTTTTCAAAAAACCTTGATTCAAAAAAAAAAAAATCATGGACTTAAGATACGTATCGATTATATTATTAATCAATTGGTAGTGCCTTCTCTCGAACCTAGTTTTGGTTTTCTTTTTCTTGGTTTCTACCAGGTTGGATATGGACAGTTGGACACATCCACTCAAAAGTGCGCAAGATCAATTGGCATCACCTGGCTCGTTCCTTTTTCCCCTTCATTTTCCCTTTTCCTTTTCTTGAAACAGCTGTCCCCGAGATTTAAATTCGCGAAAGGGGGGGGAATTCTTGTCCTTCGAATTGTCTTAATAATGACTTCAAAGAACAGAAAAATGCCTTCAAAAGCATGCCAAAAGTTTGTCCGTTGAGGAAATGATGGGCACGAGGCCATTGCACTTGAGATCATAATTAGCCCTATTAAGATAATCCTATGTTCCCATCATATGGGGCACATAGGAATTAAGATAAGGCATACCCCCCCCCTTAAAAAAACCAAATGGTACGGATGGTCCAAAAGCGGAAAAATAATAGTGAGTCGTACTTGACGTGGATTTCACCTTGTTAAGAAGAGTGATGCTGATCGACTTTTGGAAACTCTGTATGTCTCTCTCTTTCGCGGCTTTGGATTCAAAGGGCAAATAGCTGTATCTTGGTGCTTTTGGAGCCTTTCCAGATCTGTAGGCATATTATGACTGATCGACCATTAGTTAATTGGGATTCTTAATCCAACGCGTTCTATTAGGAACAGCTCGAAAAAGCACATGGGACTCGTACAATCAATCGGACAAAAAGGAGGCACGCTCTTTAATCCGCGAATTTGTCGAGGTTGCTTCGAAACAACGGATCGCGCGCTCGAATACACGAATATCAAGGGCCTACACATCAAGAATATACAGGGAAAATTGTCCCAAAAAAATCATGTACTTATTGCACTTTTGTCGATTAAGTCTTAAACCTTTTTAATTGTACCAATTAAGTCCATCTGGTCAATTTTGATCGAAAATCGCTGATATAAACACAGGCCGTCCTATATGGCATGGCGGCGTTAGCATGGCTGACGTTGACGTGGATAAGTTTTAATAATATTTTAATTTTATTTCGAATTTTTTATAAATATTTTTATTTTTCCTTTTGTTATTTTCTTCTTTTTTCCTTCGTTTTTTTTTTGATAAGGTAAGAATTCTTTTTTCCTTCGTTTTTTTTTCTTTTCTTCCTTTTCTCTCTTTTCTTTTTTCTTTTTCCCTTTTTCCTTCGCCCACCATCACTGGACCTTATCGATGGCCGGCAAAGGTCACCGGCCTCAGGTGAGGCTCGCTCAATTTGGCAAAGGGTTGCCCTTGCTAGCCCAAGCCTGGGCATCCAGGCTTGGGCTAGCAAGGGCAGCCCTCATTTGAGACCGGCGACCCTTGTTGGCCGTAGTAAAAAAGAAGAAGAAGAAGAAGGAAACGAGAAGAAAAAAAAATGAAAAAAAAATTCAAAAAATATTAAAAATTTTAAAAACTTATCCACATCACCGTCGGTCGTGCCACCTAGGACACCAAGTGTCCACGTCAACGATTTCCGGCCAAAATTGGCCTATGGACTCAATTGGCATTACATGAAATGGTTTAAGATTCAATTTGCTCAATTAATAGGCTTAAGACTAAATTGGTAAAAATACAATATGTTTAGGACTTTTTGGACAATTTGCCAAAATATGCAAGTTGCTTCTTTTTTGTAATTTTATGAACTTATTTAACCGAGATTTCATAAGTGCAACTACCCTTTGATTGGCAACCTTATATGCACAATGAGCCTTCTCCACTTGCCAAAGTTTTTTTTATTAAAGCTTTGTTTTGATATATATATATATAGTGGGTTGATCAATGCCCGATTTTTGGCACACCTTGACCGGTCTAACTTTCCGATCGATTTTAAGGGCGTACTCCCTCAAATCGATCTGATGGATCATATTCTTTCGAATTCTCAAAAAAATTAACCATTCAATACATGATCCTATTTCATTTCTGCATCCAATTAAAATAAAGCTATCTATATCAATAGTGATAGATGTGGAATGTGTTGCAAAGATATAGGTGTGCAATTACTATTGATCAACGAACACATTGTACATCACTTAATAAAAAAGTTTTACAAAATCTCTAACAACACTTAAATGATGTGCTACTTAGAAGAAGGAAGGGGAAACAAATTTCTTCGAGGGTACGGCGTGCCAAAGTAGGAGAGGGACCAGCTTGACAGGACAGCCTTGATTAATTAATGATTGAAATTATGGTACCATTTGATTAACGCCAACTTCTTGTCATTATTGTGCATGGGCCCAATGAAGCCATCAATCATGCTCCCCCCTTTTTTACACAATCGCATGGCATAATGTTTTGAAGGAGCACACAGAATTAGTACCGAATCGATGGTTAATAAAATGGTAAATATCATAAAAAAATCACAAATCATGCTTCCTGTGATATAAATACTTCAAACCTTTTTTGTATCACCAAAAATTTTTAACTTGCCCACAATGATACAATTACCCCAAAAAAAATTTTATTATTAAAAAACCCAAACGTATACTTTTGTAACGTATATGTCTTTTATTTCAGTTCCATCCATGGTACATTTGTTATACTGGGATAAGTTTGGTGTTTTTTATGACAAAAAAGTTTGGGGTATTTGTATCACAATTGATAAGTTTAGAGTTTTTAGTGATAAAAAAAAAGTTTGAGGCATTTATGTTTATAACATAGTTTGAGGCTTTATGTGGTATTAATCCTTAATAAAATAAGTTTATCATCAATATTCGATAAATATTTATCAAATCACTTAATATATCAACTCCGTCTATTGTGTCACTTAATACACAATTCTTATTGTACCCAGTAGTATTTAATGTTTGATCTAACATTTAAGGATTAATATCACGAAAAACATCAAACCAATACACATGTGACAAATTTACCTCAATCTAATTTTTTGTCCACCAAAAACTCCAAACCAATACGCTTATGACAAATTTACCCTCTATTAGTTTCCGTTAAATTTTACAGTCTAATTGCTGGGTTGGATAACACGTGGCAGTCGACGAGTATACTAGTTTGAGGTTTTATCCTTCCGTTTGTCACAAAATTTACTAATTTTTGGTTTTTTGTGGTATTAATCCAATTTAACGAATGGTAAATTTGTTACAAATGTACAAGTTTAGAGTTTTTGATGGTCAAAAAATTAATTTGAGGTAAATTTATCATATGTGTACCAGTTTGAATTTTTTTTGGCAAAAAAATTTATTTGAGATAAATTTGTCACAAGTGTACCAATTTGGGGTTTTTCGTGGCAATAACCCAACATTTAATAACCTTGCTAACTTTTTATCTTTTATCTTTTGTAAAAAAGTAATAAGACGAAATTACAAAAACACCCCTAAACTTTGGCGTATTACGTGCATATCTCCGAGCTCTCAAATGTTACTTAATGCCCCTAAAATTTATTTTGTTCCGGTCACTAACACTATTTTTCCTATTAGCATGTGCAATGCACATGACTTTTAAGGGGGTAAAAGTACATTTTCATCTCATTATTTTAAGGAAATCTCTTTTTTACATTTAATTGTTGTAAAACATAAGAAATTATAAAATAGGAGAAAACTACATTAACTAGTACTGATAATAGAATAAATAAATATAAATAATAATAAGAAAAATAATTTAAATTTGATAACTATAGCCACTTTAATTAAACAAAAATAATGTACTTTAACGAAAATAACAAAAATAAATAAATAAAACAAAAAGTGGAGAGGCCTCAATAACAAAAAAAGTCGAATGCCAAAAATTGATTACTCTTTATCTATATTTAAAGGATTATTAAAGGGAAAATTCCAAATAATGACTCGAAGTGCTCTCATTTTCTCAAATAGGGACCTGAAATGAACTATATGTCAAATAAGGACTCAAAGTGCCGTCATTGTTTCAAATAAAGGCTTGAAGTGAACCTTGTCTCAAATAAGGGTTTGAAGTGGCCATCTCAGTCTCAAAAAAGGGTCTCATCTCACCGGAGTCAAGGGCATTTTCGTCTTTTAATTTTTTTAGATTTTTTGATTTTTTTGATTTTTTTCTTTTTCAGTTTTTTCCCGTAAAAAACAAACTCAAAAATGAAAAAAAAAAAGCTAAAGTTTAAAAAAAAAAAAAACAAGGGGGAAGGACGCAGGCCCTGTGCGAGGTCTGGCGGCCCTCGCCCAGACGGGGGCGAGGTCCAGCAACCCTTGCCCAGACATGGGAGAGGGTTATCGCCCTCTCCCGGCTCTGGCAAGGGCCAACGGCCCTCGCCAGTCCTCGCTAAGGCGCCGGTGACCTCGCCGCCCCACCGGCGATGGGGCGGCGGCCATAGGCGGGGAGGGCTGGCTGCCAGCCCTGCCCCCTGTTTTTCTTTTTTTTTAAAAACTTTTTTTAATTTTAAATCTAATTTAACTAAAATTTATGTTAAAATTATTTTTGGACGAAAATGCCCTTGGCCGGTCGAAAAATTTGGCCGGCAGGTGAGCCGGTAGGGTGAGGCCTCTATTTGAAACTATTATAGCCACTTCATGTCTTTATTTGAGAACATAAGTCCATTTCAGGCCCTTATTTGACACAAAGTCTACTTCATGCCCTTATTTGAGAAAATGAAAGCATTTCGGGTCCTTATTTGAAATCTTCCCGATTATTAAATGTAAAAAATGATCGATTAATAAAAATTTAAGAAAATTGTAAAAGCAAATGATGTCATCAACTCATAAAAGAAACTAATTGATCGAAACCCAATGTGATATTTTCAAATTTTATTAATCAATCATTTCTTGCGTTAATTAACCATTTAAAAATACACAATGAGTATCTAATTTTTGTAATTGAAATTTTTGTCATTGAGACCTTTGTCCATTTTAGTTAGTCCTGTTTCTTTTTCCTCAAATATTATACAAGGTTTATTAATAAATTTATCAAATTATATATATTTTTAATATTATTATTATTGAATTTCAGTTATTATATTATTATTTAAAATATTATTTGATCATGAAAATATTGATTATCTTCAATTTAATATTTTAAATTAAAATATAATAATTATATGTAAATTGTAATATCTTCTCATCTATGATTTCTAAAAATATCATAAAAAAAGAAATTAGGCTTCAATTATGTATCATTAATGGGTATTATGGAAATTATGTAGTGTTCTTAACTTATTTTTCATGGTATAATGATAAACCATATTCCATTTCGCAAACCAAACTAAACAATAGTTGTTAATTTTAGAAGGTTTTATCAACGATATTTACTTTTTCAATGTATTGACTGTGTATAATACCAGAAAAACAATACTTTGAAAATGACAAATTTTCTTTATTTAGATATTTAATGAGTGTTTCCAATACACTAGTGAAGAAACTCCCCGTTTAAAAGGTTTTGGTGGTGTTTTATAGTCCTTGTCGTTTTGGTGATAAGTGCATTGATGTTGAAGAAGACAGCTCATTCAAGACCCAGATCTGTTCTGACCAAAAAAAACAAGAACCAGATCTGTGTGCCTGTGCACATTTTGAATTGGGTCTGATGGCTGAAATTTGTATATAATGTTGCAATTAATTTAATATTATATTACGTGGGATTGAGGACGGCAATAACCATTGCATTTTTGGACTGACTTTACTGAAGATTCCAGACTTAAAAAAAAAATGAACATTTTTTAAATTGACCCGTGAGCGATATATTTATATATTTCTACTACTATCATGGACCCTTGTTCGCTTAAATCATCTGCCGTGAATAATTTACAAAAGAGGATTTTTCTTTCTTATTTTTCCCCTCTTCGTTGCAGCTTAAATAATTCCAAGAATTATAATCAGTTTTCTTAAAAGTTTGCAAACTCCAACGTAGGTCTTTCTCAGGGTCCGTGATGGCGAAGCGTGAGGCGTGAGTGAGAAGAAGCAGCAGCAGCAGCAACAACAACAACGTATGACATTTGACTGCTGAGCTGACGTGCGATACAGTGAAAGAGCCACAGGAAATACGTGTCTTCTTCACGGAGGTTGATGCCCTCTGTTGCGGATGCTTTGGCATCTTGCTCTTTCGTCTTGCTTTCATTTCTAATGAATTGCCTCCTTACCCCCTTTCTTGTTCCTTTTTCCCTGGATGCAATTTCAAATATCTCTTTCTTGGGTGTCTTTAAAAATATCTGATCCCCGCAAAAGCCAACCTTTCAACGCCAAGTGAGAGTGCAAACTGCAGATTCCGCAAGGGCTTCCTTTTGTTTTTCTGTCTAAGGTGGGGACACATCAGGCAATCAAGCACTCTGAGCTTCTTTACCTTTCCTGAGGTAGCATAAAGACCACTGTGTTTGTTCTCGCGTAGGACCAGGACACCTGAGCTCGCCTGATTTCTGCTGCCCAAGTTACAACGATTTGTTTTTCGATATCTGTTTTTGGGTTTTTGCAGATATAAGGTTGATGGGTCTTGTCTATACAGTCTGAAGAAGTGAACTCTGTCATACCCTTTTGCAAGGGCTTGTTTTGTTGAAGTGGGTGATAGTGATTCAATTCTTGATCTGCAAATTCCAGTGGATCGTGTGATTTTCTGAGGGGTTGCCAGTTTAGTTCGATAATGAGAGGAGCTGTGTGGGTTGCTGTTGCTGCTTCCGTTGGTAATTTGCTTCAAGGATGGGACAATGCTACTATTGCTGGTAATTTTGCTCTTTTCTTGGTATCTCTTCATGCAACTTCATGAGTTCTATTACCAAGTTCTTGAAATTCCACGCTCTTTTTATCTTTCTTTCTTCAAGTAGTGATTGTGACTTGTCAGTCTTCTTAGATTTCAGAGTGATCCTTATAGCTGTAACTGGTTACTGTCGTGCTTCAAAAACTTTTGCTTTGTTTTAAGAAATTCTCCTTTGAAATCCCAATTTGTAAACTGACATGATTATCTTTCGAAAGCAATAGAATCGATAGAACCTTGAAATTAATTTCCTTTTTCTGTTTCTGAATCAGGTGCCGTTTTGTACATAAAGAGGGAATTTAATTTAGATAGTGAACCGGCTTTAGAAGGGCTAATAGTGGCCATGTCACTTATTGGTGCCACTTTGGTTACTACTTGCTCTGGAGCGATTGCAGACTGGCTTGGTCGCCGTCCTATGCTAATTATTTCGTCGGTGTTTTATTTCGTCAGCGGTATTGTTATGCTGTGGTCCCCCAATGTTTATGTGCTACTCCTTGCAAGGTTTTTAGACGGACTTGGTGTTGGCTTGGCTGTAACTCTTGTTCCGCTCTACATATCTGAGACTGCCCCGCCGGAAATAAGGGGTACGCTGAATACGCTGCCACAATTCACCGGTTCTGGTGGGATGTTTATATCGTATTGCATGGTTTTCGGGATGTCTTTGATGGAGTCACCGAGTTGGAGGTTGATGCTCGGAGTTCTGTCGGTTCCCTCCCTCGTTTATTTTGTATTGATGATATTTTTCTTGCCTGAGTCTCCGCGGTGGCTTGTGAGTAAAGGGCGGATGCATGAGGCTAAGAAAGTCTTGCAGAAGCTATGTGGCAGAGAAGATGTATCTGGTTAGTTGTCTGACTACTTGTCATGCCATTCCCCTGAATGAAAGTTATTTTCACTGGACTGAGCTTTGATGTTCAAATCAATGCTTTGGTCAATCTTCTATTTATAGGATCTGCAATCTGCTTGTACAATGGAATCATGTTTACAAGAACTGGCTTGCAACATATTGTTGCACAAAAGTCATTGGACTATTAGCGGGAGTTGCTCAAGTGGAATGGGAACTTATCCTCAACCCCTGCTATCTATAGTTTTGGAATGTGTTTTCTTGATTCTGATATACCTGTCTTAGAACTTTTGAATCTCAATAATTTCCATTTGTCAAGTGTCATATGCTGTGTAGGGCGGTAGCATCCTGGGCTGAAACTAGCTAGGATATCTAGAATCAATCAAATTTTTATTCTTAGGTTGTTAGAAAAACTTTGCTTTTGCATTACTTGAAGCTTAGTCGTAACCGCAACAGATGAAAATGGAGAGCTGATAGATTTCAGATGAACAGGTGAGTTGGCTTTGCTGGTGGAGGGATTAGCAGTAGGGGGCGAAGCATCCTTAGAGGAGTACATAATTGGCCCGCCCAATGATCAGATGGATGACCAGGATATATCCAATGAAAAAGACCAAATCAAGTTATACGGCACCGAACAGGGTCTTTCGTGGGTTGCCAGACCCATCTCTGGGCAGAGTGCTGTAGGTCTCGTGTCTCGGCACGGAAGCATGGCAAGCCAGAACGTGCCTCTCATAGACCCTCTTGTGACCCTCTTCGGTAGTGTGCATGAGAAGCTCCCTGAGGGAGGAAGCATGCGCAGCATGCTTTTTCCTCACTTTGGCAGCATGTTCAGCGTCGGTGGTAATCAACCGAGGAACGAGGAATGGGATGTGGAGAGTGTTGCCAGGGAGGGCGAGGAGTACCCATCCGATGCAGGTGGCGGTGATTCAGACGACAATCTGCAGAGTCCATTGATTTCACGGCAAGCAACAAGCTTGGATCGGGAGCTGGTCCCGCCTGCCCATGGAAGCGCTTTTAGCATGAGACATGGTAGTCTTGTGCAAGGAGTCGGAGAAGCGGCTGGGAGCACGGGGATCGGCGGCGGATGGCAACTGGCATGGAAATGGTCTGATAAAGAAGGCCCAGATGGAAAGAAGGAAGGGGAGTTCAAACGAATCTATTTGCACCCGGAAGCGGTCCCTGGCTCACGGCGAGGCTCTATGTTTTCAATTCACGGGGGTGAGGGTCCAATGAATGGAGAATTCATCCAAGCCGCCGCTCTGGTGAGTCAACCAGCTTTGTATCCCAAGGAGCTCTTGGAGCAGCATCCGATTGGTCCGGCTATGGTTCATCCGGCCGAAACCGCCGTGAAAGGGCCAAGTTGGAAAGATCTTTTTGAACCAGGAGTCAAGCATGCTTTGGTTGTTGGTGTGGGGATTCAAATTCTTCAGCAGGTGAAATACATTAGCTGATAGTTTTAAATTTCATTGGAAATTGCTATCTTCTTTCCAAATATCGTTTTAATGCTCTACTTCTGCCATGAGGAAACTAAATTTCACCTTGCCATTAGACATTATCTCTGGTTTTTAGATATAACATGACTTGGCTTGCTTTCGGTAAAGATGCTCATGCTATAGCTAGAAAATCACCCAAAACTGCACGAGCACAAAGCCCGACTGTCATTCTTGAGCTTTTAGGGAGCTGTTTTGACTTAATTAATGATGTCATAGACTCATACCAACATATATGGGTAGTAAGGATCTTGTGGTCGTGATTAAATGTAACTTTTCTTCTTAATCAGTGGCTATAATTCTGGCCCACCAGTGCTTGATGCGGGCTTTATTGCTGATTTTGCTGAAATTTCGAGAGGTAAACATTAAGAAGGTGGCGGTGCCAGCATGTTTGTTTAGAGTTTTTAACAGGATTGACGGTCCAGACAGCAGTTGAAATTCTTTTTGGTTCTAAAGTCTTCTTTTCTTGAGCAATGTCGTGTGATATAGGGCAAATCATTGCTTTTCTTTAAAGTTATTTATTGTGCACAATAATGGATGCTTTCCTTCTCTACATGAAAAAACCTGATATTGGCGGAACTCCTCTTGAATTTTTGACATTCTTGATATTAATTGCAGCATATTGGATTAGACTCTTAGTAGTAGTCAAGGCTAAATTTTTTATTGAAAAATTCCCACGGATATAAGCACTCAGTGCGAATGTGGCAATCTTGCGTTATTAATATTTTCCCACGAATCTTTGCTTATTCTTTTGTCCCTTTGGACTTACTCGCAATTCTCATTTGTGCAGTTCTCTGGAATAAATGGGGTTCTCTACTACACTCCCCAAATTCTTGAGCAAGCGGGAGTCGGAGTTCTACTTTTGAATTTGGGTATTAGTTCAGCTTCTGCATCTCTTCTCATTAGCGCGTTAACAACCTTATTGATGCTTCCCTCAATTGCTGTCGCCATGAGGCTCATGGACATTGCTGGCAGAAGGTACATGATCCAGAGCGATCTCTCGTATCTTCTTATAGTATAAACTTAAAATTAAGCCACATGCTTGATATATTTCTTGTTGCTTGTTTAATCTGTTTTGGGTGTCACCTTCATCGTGTGCCTTATATCCTCACAGGAGCCTGCTGCTCGGTACTATACCGATCCTGATAGCGTCCCTCATCATCCTAGTCCTCAGCAGCATCATAAGTATGGGCTCCGTCGTTCACGCGGCAATCTCTACCATAAGTGTTGTGCTCTACTTTTGTTTCTTCGTGATGGGATTTGGGCCAATCCCCAACATACTCTGCGCCGAGATCTTCCCCACCAGGGTCCGCGGGCTCTGCATCGCCATATGCGCACTCGCATTCTGGATCGGCGACATCATTGTCACATACTCGCTGCCCGTGATGCTCAAGTCTGTGGGCCTTGCTGGTGTGTTCGGCATGTATGCGGTTGTGTGCCTCATATCATGGGGTTTTGTCTTTATGAAAGTCCCCGAAACGAAGGGCATGCCTCTTGAGGTCATCACCGAGTTCTTCTCCGTCGGGGCGAAGCAGGCCGCGGCCGCAAGGAACAACTAATTGCACGGTTGACATTGGATAGAGAGGTGCTTGAGTTTTCCAGTTTTGGGTGGTTGCCTTCCTCTTTTCTTGGTGTTACCCTCCTTTTCCCCTTATTTTTCGGTTGAAAGAACCAGGAAAGTGACTTCCTTGAGGACTGTAATTTGTAACTTGTTCTTACTTTTATTCGTTTGTTACATCTGGATTTGCTTTTTGTAAATGCACAATTTTGGACTTGTGAGTCCTATTCATATTTGAAAGGATACTTTCTGCTAATTCTAACTATATGCTTCACTTCTTTGTCGAGCTGTGCCGGACTAATCTCATCAAGGCAGTTGAATCTCGTCAGCCACTAGACCCATCAAACGGGTGGGGTTGGGTCGGGTCGAAAATGGTCAAACCCAAATTGACCCATTAATTCATTTTGATCAATTTGTATACAATACAAATTTAGTGATACATAACTAATACCAAATCCGATTCATATTGCTGAAAATCCCTATTTGACTTAATCTAAAAAAACGTATATGCAAACTGAGGTGAAAGTGTGGAGTGAGTGAGCATGAGGTCAAGTGAGGGCAAGAGAGTCATAAAAATAGGTTGAGTCTAACTAAATTACGAATCCATTTTGTATCATTCTAAACGCATTTATGATCAATTTACTTAATATAACGAACTTATACGACAATTCAGCCTATTAAATATGGGTTAAGAAATGAGTTTATGATCCATTTTGACAGGTCTATCGATCACTCGTCCCAGCTCTTATCTGCTAACATTAGATATCCTTCGAGATAAATCGAACAAGTGCATTAGTTGAGGAGTTCACTATATGAAGATTAATGAGTCAACTTTTGTAGTCACTCATATTAGCAATGCTTGTTATATTTTTGACCGATCAAAGAAACCGGGGAAAGAAACCTCCGCCCGACCACAGGCGATCGTGAAGGAGAAATGAAGTGGGCCGGTGGGCCCTGTATCCGACAATGCGGATCTTCAAGGCCCATTAAACGAGAACTGTCCAAACGTTGCCCTGCCACGTGGATGGAGCTCTTCGTCCGCGTGTAAACATTTGCAGCATTCCATTCTCGAAGTCAGAGAAACTCTTGCAATGGATCTTACGGAATGTTTACGATTCAATTGTTATAAAAAAAAAAGAATTTATGACTAAATTAACATAATTATAATAAGTTTAAGACTTTTTTTTATAATTTTCCTCTCATTGACCATGTCGATCCTGCAAAGTGCGAAGTGCGAAGTCAAACCCACATGCGAGCCGAGAGAATACGCTCGCCGGAGCAATCAAACACGACGGTCGAGGAAAATGGCCGACGAGTTCTATCCCGACACTATGCCGGACTTTGTAGCAGAGACGATGGCTCTCTTGGAGGAGACGATGATGGAGGACTGGTATCTATGCTCTTGGTTGCGGTTGTGGGTGGGCTGGTATATCTGACATTGCCTGAATAATTTACGAGTTAAAAATCTGATTTCAGCTAGGTTTTATCCGATGTATGAAGAAATTTCTCTTCTCTTGAAATCATAGTTGAAAATTGGGAATAATCAAAATTATACAATATCCAGAATTGTTGGCTAAGATGCGTGTATTATCTTGAGGCATAATGATGCAAACAGTTCCTGAACTTTGGCTTAATGTGCAATTTGATCCCTGAACTTTTAATTTGTTCAATGTAGTCCCTGAACTTTAGCCTAATGTTCAATGTGGTTCCTGAACTTTTAATTTGTTCAATGCGGTCCCTAGACTTTTGGTACATATTCAATTTAATCCTTGAACTATATGATAATGTTTAATGTAATCCTACATGTTCAATTTAGTCATTGAACTATATGAAAATGTTCAATGTAGTCCCTGAACTTGAATTAATGAAAGGACCACATTAAACATTTCATATAGTTCAGGTTGAACATCTATCAAAAGTCCATGGACCTCATTGAATAAACTAAAAGTTTAGGGATCACATTGAACATTAGGCTAAAGTTAAGGAACTACATTAAACAAATTAAAAGTTTATGGACCAAATTATACATTGGGCCAAAGTTCATGGACTGTTTGTGTCATTTTCTCTAATTTTGAAGATAAATGATTAAACAGGGCGTGTCACTTTTTCTGTTGTAAGCGAAAAATTGGTACCATCATGCTAAGTCCGAACATTATTTTACAAATACTTTTCATGTTTTTCTTTATTAATAAAAAAATGTAATTCCTGGAGATAAGAATAAGGTGGACGATAGAATTGTTGAATTTCTATATATCTTGATATTATGATGAAGAGTACGTAAGCCTATAACTTTATTGGATGATTATCTAAAGTAACACATCAATCAAAGGGAAATATATGTTTAATCCTGAAAGATGCGGAGAATCAAGAGAAATATTCAAATGATCTCTAATAAAAGAAAATATCCTAAGAAAATATCTCTAGAACCTAGTACGATATTTTCTTTCTAAAATACTCTTGACTGATTAGCTTTATTATGGTTTTTAGACATTCTTTTACTTGATTTTCTAATACGTTTGAATTATAGGCTTAGAGTATTCAATTTCTCTTTATTTGTTGTCATATCATGCAATTATTTAAAAACTATTTCAAATTCGTGATCAATACACAAATTTTCTAATTATTCATTCGTCAAAGATGTTATTGTGGGGATATTTCCACATGACAAATATAACCCATTTTTCGAAGAAAAAACTATGGAAAAAAGAGGGAAGGTTTAATCCGATTTGAATAGGGTTTTTTTTTTTGTCGAAAGTTTGAATAGGATTGGGTATCGGTTGATCTCAACACATTTAAAGGACACATTTTTATGATCCGAACCCATATAAATCTGGACCTAGACCCGTTTTGATCCTCTGACTATTTCACCAAAAAGTTTTCAGTTGCTTTCTAATCTTTTCCCGATTCTTCCACTATGATTTCTCAGTCCGTTAATGGCTATGCACTCTTTGTTCAATGGTCATGTCATCTTCAAATGAATATGTTACCGGCATCACTAGAGACTTAATATCAGATGTAATGATCATTATTAGCACGTTCTCGATATCACCGGTCTATTGATGCCATCCACAGTTGATCCGTGAGTAATGATTTTGCTATGCTATTCAATAATCCTTCTGAGTATATTAGCACCCATAGATACTAATTTGACGAAAGATTGATCACGGTATCTCTAAGTCTTCATGAAATCTTCATATTCTGAGACTTATTCTCCTCTTGTTGATATCTTCATCGGTCTTTGTTGAACTCTTAGGTATCGCTGATATCATCACTTTCAGTCTTGATACTACCATAGACTACCCTTATCATGAAGATATTAATAGCAAGGATAGTTTTTGAAATCATCAAAATCTTATAGAAATGATTTCCCAACAAAATAATTTTATCATCGATAATTATCGATAGCAAAAATGCTTGTCGATGACCGTGATAATCGATAACCATACAATTATCGATGTGCGATGACGACTGGTTGAAGATTAATGTGACATTTCGAAATTTCCGCCAATTGGAAATTATGAAATAACTGAGTTTTACGAAATGTGCTTGTAGTAAATTTCTCGCCCGGAACTGATCATTCCTGGGAAAACTAACCATTAGGGAAAGGCTAATAGGGGAATTAAATTCGCGCGACTAAAGAAAATTCAACCGTGAATGGACTTCGACCATTAAATCGCGGAAGTGATATTTTGAGCCACTGTTGGCCGATCCAAGGATAGTTAGGGGTCAGTTCGCCACTGTCCTAGTAGTGGATCGCGGGTGATTCCGTTGGACCACGAAACGACTTGACGAATGATTATGAAATTATACCGAACGATCGTACCCCTCGGATCAAGTGATTGATCTTCGCGATTTTAATGACAACCGAGGTCGTCACGCACCGAACGGACTTGCACGTGACTCGATTTAGTATCAGTCATGAGTCGATTTCGCGAATTTCCCCAGCAAGCCGCCCGTTAGCTCGAGAAACGCTCGAGTTGCGTTTAATAGAATTTAATTATTGAATTTTTGCCCAAATTGGACACCGGAAAATTAGGAAGTCACGCCGGAACGTTAGGACGACGTTGCACGTGACACATACGAATTTTTGGTGCGCTCAAATCCTTCGGAAAAATTCGATTTGGACAAGAAACGGAGGAAGTGACCAAAATACCCCTAGGATTTATTAAAGGGCAAGCTTTAAGGGTAAAGGGCATTTTGGTAATTTTGCCATAAAATTTTGATTGGACAATTTTACCCTTGGATTTTTGGGAAATTACAAGTATGCCCTTGGATATTTTTGTGCAAGAATCGATCTCGGCCGTCGGATCAAGATAAGATCGAATCGGGACCGTTGGATTAAAATTGTGAGGAAAGGGTAATTTGGACATTTCCACCTTTGGTCAAGATTTACTATTTAGGTCAAGAACACTTCTTCTTCTCCCCATTCTCCTTCTTCCTTGCCGTGAGACCCCTCCCCCATTTAGTTTTTTTTTTCTTCTCCCCACCGTGAGCTTCCTTGGCCGTTCCTCCCTCCACCGCCGGCGCCGCCGCTCGTCGCCGCAAGCCGGACCGCCCTCAAGCCGCCGCCTAGCCACCGTATCAGCCCCAAGCCACCACCACCAGCCACCGTTTCTCTCTCTCCCCCTCTCTTTCTCACCGTGGAGGCAAGACCCACGGCCAAGCAAGCCCCACGCCGCCGCCGCTCAAGCCGGACGCCGTCGTGAGCCGTACGCCGTCGCCGTAGAGTGCCGCCGCTTCCCGTTCTAGCCGATTAAGTCTAGAACTTAGTAAGCCACACTCTAATCCCGATTTAGGATATTGGGTATCGACGGATAATTTGATTTGGGGTGAAATTGACAATATGCGGGTGCGAAATATTGGGGTTTATGATTGGAATGTTGTGGCGGGCCTTGAGGATTATTTTTGGAATTTTTGGAGGACAATTTGAGGTGAATTACAAGCTGTGATTTACTGTTCACAAGCTGCGAGTTACTGTTCACGGGGCTGTGATGATTTGTTCAGGACGCAAGTTGGATTTTTAGAACCATTATTTAATGGCGAGAAAGTGTCGTGAAGGATCGAAATTAATCCGACGCCATTTGGTTGGAGAAAATTGGCAATTTACGTGTTTTAGGCATGTTTGAATTATTCCGGATGGGGTTGATTTAATTGAGTGCTTATTTGTGTGTTTATATAGTGGACATATGTCTGTTTGGTGCACGCGTGGGCCAGATTGAATTAATTGTTGATATTGGCCATGTGAATTGTTGAGTG